ATGCAATTTACTGTCTCAGAAAAGTTGCAGAGTCATTTGTTCTATTCCCCCAATGGACTGTGAGCCTCCTAATAACAGAGACCATGGCCTTTTGGACTGCTGCTTCCCTGTGCCTGGCTTAGAGCATGTAGCAGGTGTTCAAGAAGACTTGTTGAATTAATTGTCACTGATCACTTCTTCAGTCTATTCATCCATTGCCAAGTGTCCAGAGGACACCCGCTTTGGACCTTGCCCTTCCTGGTGTCCTGTGGAGAAATTAGTGGGGACTTAAGGAGTAGCTTCCTTTACTGCCCAGCACCAAGATCTCACACTGCATGCCTAACGACAGCCTGTTCAAGAAACTTCAACTTGCCTACACGAGTCTCAATTCTTCCTTGTGTATTAAATACTGTGCCAGATGCCTTGCAGAACATTACAACCTCATCTCCCCTCCCAATCCCCACAAAGTAGGGGTCTGTAGGAAGCAGCCTCTAAGCTGACCCGAATCATCCCCCCATCCAGCAGGACCTCGGGGTACTCATATCCTTGCATGATCCCCTCCCTTTAAGTGCACAGCAGACTTAGCAACTAGCTCCTAACATTTCAGTTGAGCTGAAATAATGAGGTTCCACTCCCCAGACTGGGTTTTAAAAAGACTTTGGCCACCGCCAAGGGTCACTGTCTCTGGGGGAAGTCAGCTGCCATGTCTGAGGTAGACACCCCCTGTGGCAAGGGACCAAGGACTGCTGATAGCAAGTGAGTAAGCTTGGACATGGATCCCTCTCCAGGCAAGCCTTCAGATAAGACATGCCCCCAGCCAACAGTTTGACTGCAACCTCACAAAAGACACTGAGCTAGTGGCACCTAGCTAAACTGAGTCAACATTCCTGACTCACAGCAACTGGGATATTATGAATGTTTGCTGTTTTAAGCCACTGATTTTAGAAGTAGCTGTGCACCAATATGGTACCAGTTAGTCCCATACTGTAGATAAGGAAATGGAGGCTCTGAGAGGCAATGACTTGCCTGGGGGTCCTGTAACTGTGAGAGGTGGAGCTGGGCTCTGCACACAACTGCCTCACTGTGCAGCCATCCTCAGCGGGTGGGGAATATGGGCTCTGCTGTTAGATGCTGAGCAGGGGAAGGAGAAGGCAGGTGCGGGGCTGGAGAGGGCAGGGAACTGCACCCCCATCCACAGATGTGGGAGGAACTTAGAGCGACAGGCTTGACCAGCTGTGGCCCGTGAGGGGGCCCAGATCCTAGGCACTTCCTGGGGTGGGGTGTCTGGTGCTGTGGTCAGGACCTCAGACTCCCCTTTCCTCGAACTTAGTGAAGATCTGGCTTCTTGTTGCTTTGAGGTATAATTCATACACAGTAAAAGTCATCCTTTGTAAGTGTGAGGTTTGGTGAGTTTGACAAGTGTGTAAGTTGTGTGACCACCGCCACAGTGAAGATACAGGACATGTCTGTCACCACAGGAACCTCGTGTGGGTCTGCATGCCTGTGTGCTCGCAGCTCTGTCCCAAGCCCTGATGTCCACCGCCATGTCCTGCTCTGTAGGTTTGCCTTTTCCAGAACGTCATATAAATGGAATCGTGCCGCATGTGGCCTTGGGAGTCTGGCTCCTTTGAGCCTGCTTTTGAGGGTTCTCCTTGTTGGGTCTTGTTCTGCTCATTTCTGCCGCAGAGCAGCATCCGCCGCACACACGTTGCACTTGTTCATTCACTAGTTGAAGGACTTGAGTTGTTTCTGGTGCTTGTGATGATGAATGAAACTGCTGCACTTTTGTGTTCAGATCATTGTGTGAATATGTTTTCATTTCTCTTGGGTAAGTGCCCCTGAGTGTGATTGCTGGTTTGGGAAGCGTTCGACTTTATAAGAAACTGCCAAACCATTTCCGCACTGTTTGCACCACTCATCGGCATCCTACCAGCCACGTGTGAGGGCCATGTGTGAGAACAGGGGTTGTGTTTCTGTGTCTTGGGGGCAGACACACGTGCGTCGTGGAGGGAACACAGCAGGGTGTCAGATGTCCCCTGCGAGGTGATTTTACGTGGATGAACATTTTTTTCATGATGTCAGTTATGACCACATTTTCAAGTGCATTAAAAAAGTTTACCAACCGTGCACCAAGTCCACGCTTTCTTGGCTATTAATGCTCATGGCGAAGACACTGGCCCTGCAGTCAGATTACCTGCATTTGCTCCTGGAGTTCTTCCTGCCAGCTGTGTGACCTCAGGCAAGCCATTTCTTGTCTCTGAGGCTCAGATTTGCCATCAGTAAAATAGACTGACAATGTTCCTCCCTACCTGCTCCATTTACTAGGAGGGTGAAACTGGGAAGTTTCTGTAAAACTGCATTTTGGGGCCGGGTGTTGACAAATGGCTGCTCTTACTATTGGGGCGTGTGGTCCACATGTGAAGAGCATGTGTTTAATGCGAATGAATGTTTAGGCCTTCACCCAGGCCAGAGGAACCCACCTGGCATGAGTGGGGCGGAGAGGAAGTGTTTTGAAAGGTGAGGCCCTGCAGTTGGTCCAAGGATTCTGAGCAGAGACTCCCCCCGACCCCCCACCTTGGGGTGGGGCATTGGAGAAGTTCTGATCTAACCTCAGCGGCTGGGCTCAGCAGATCTTTAAAAACGGCTTTATTGAGATATAACTGACATGTAGGAAACCACATATGTTAAAATTTACAATTGGATGGGGACAGATGCTTACATCCAAACCCATCACCACAGTCAGATGGCAAGCACACCCCAGATGTTCCTTGTGCCTCTTGGCAGCCCTCCCTCTCCCCTGCCACCCCCAGGCTGCCACCAATCTGCTTGATATCACTCTAGCTTTTTTGTGTCTCCTCGGATTGATACGGAGGGAACAAGGTGGGGGACGAAGAAGGGTTCGGTAAGGAAGGCCCTGCTGTCGCTCCAAGGCTTGTGGATTGTGTACAGTTAAAAAAAAAAAAATACAAAACTGGTTTGTTTTACTCAGCCTCCTGATTTTGAAATTTATCCATGTTTCTGGTCCTGCCAGTGGCTCATTCCTTTTTACTGCGGAGGAGTGTGCCATTGCACAGATGTGCCACCTCTACCACCCATTCGCTCAGCAGCTGTTTTCTTCCTTTATGCTTTAAATTCAACGTTTGTATATATACCTACAATGCGTAACGTCACTTTTCACCTGGATATATCTGGAAGCCAAGAGTCAAACTATGTCTCAGGCTGAGCCCAACAGGCACGGCCACCTGCAGGCATTGCCACCTCCACCCTTCACCCCAACAGTCCCTTCTCTGGAATGACCTCCCCAGTAGTGCCTCAGACTGGCTGGGTGGCCTCTGAGCAATTCCAGCTTCGGGGCCTAGTGGCTTTCAGGGCCCTTTGAGCTTGGTCCACAAGTCTAGTCTTATCTCCTCAGTGAGAACAAGGTAAGGGTTCCCCGTGTCACTGCCACCTTCGGGTCCTGGCATGCAGGAAGCTGCTCTAGAGAGGCCTGGAGGCCAGTGTGCAGGGGTCTGGCTGATGCTGGGCTGTGGACTCTGGTGTGGGGCCGGTGGGAAAGAGGAAGCAAAGATGCAAACGAATGCAAACACGGCCTGGGCGGACGTCTAGGCCTCTGGCTGCCTTGATGTTTCTCTTTCTCCTCTCGCCCATTTTTGGAAGCCCCTTCTCCCTGTTGAGGGACTGGGAGGCCTCTGGGCAGGCCTGATGCTGATGGAACTTTCTGTATTAAATTCATGTCTTGGAGAGACCAAATTTGAAACATCTGAGAAGGCCTCTGCCACATTTTATGACTTTTTACTTCCCCACTCCCATATTTCCCCTCCCCCACATCCCTCTTCCCTCGGGATAAAGGGATAGGCAGGGGCTGCCCTTCCTGACGGATGGGACACAGATCTTGGGGAAGAAATGAAACCACCCTTCCCTCCCTTGCTCCCAGCCACCCAGGCTGTGCATTACTGCTGGGTGCTGCTGCGGGATGCCTCAGAGTCACAGGGCAGGGGTCTCCATGTGCCAGGGAGGGTGGTGACTTCCTCAGGGCCACAAGTCTGATTAGGGACAGACTCAAGCCACCTGGCACTTGTCCCGCGTTCCTTCCTCTCTTCTCTGTCTCCTGGACGCCAGCCTCACGTGTTTGTAAGCACCTTCTGCTGGCCCAAACCCTGTGCCATTTTTGGGTGTGGTTAGAACCGTCTGTGGAAAAGGGTGTCCTGCCTCCCTGGTCAGAGGTTCTTGAGGTGGGCCTGAGTTCTGCTAGAAAGGCTCCTGTGTCCAAGGTGCTGCAGCTCCCGGGAGTGTGAAGCAGGAAGGCAGTGTGGGGCGCAAGGAGGGCCCTGCAGGAGGAGAGGATGGCTGGTCCTGGGGTGACCTGCGGAGGCTGACTCCCAGCCCCTCACCTTGCTGGTCTCTAGGCAGAGCCTCAGTCACGTGACTGCTGCAGACCAGCCTCGTCAGCTGAGCTCCAGCGCCGTCTCCTCCTCGAGGCCTTCTGAGAAGTGACCTGTCCTTACACTGCCTGCCATTTGTATCCCGATTTCTGTCTTTGTCTCAGTCTCCTCCTGGACTGATGGCTTCTTAAGGACAGGATCCCCATGCGCTTCATGCTTCTCTCTCCAGGGCTTGGGACAGGGCTTGATATTAACCAGCTCCATAATGAAAATTTGTTTAATAAAATAAATAATGGTGGTCGTGAGTGACCGTGAATGGGGGTGGACTTGGTGGTAAGTGGCACTTTATCACGATGGCAGCTGTAGACATGAGGAGCAGTAGGTGGCGGTCAGTGGTGGTGATGGGGGGAGATGGGTGAGTGGCGTGAAGACAGTGGCGGGTCCTATGGTGGTGTATGGCGCGGTGGGAAACAGCTGTGCATGGCAGCGGGAGAGGGACGGTGGCAGAAGGTGGCAGTGGTGGTGGGTGGGGGGACGGTGGAGCTACGGGCAACCTCTGCTTCTGCCCGGCCCGCTGCCCTTTTTGGTTTTGCTCTTGGACCGTCAAGTTCCCTGACACGATGGCTTGTTCCTTTCCAGACTCCATCGGCGGCCCCTTCCCTGTGCCCTCTCACCGATGCCACCACAAGCAGAAGCACTGTCCGCCGGTGCTGTCGGGCGGGGGCCTCCCGGCCGCTCCTCTGCTCTTCCACCCGCACACCAAGGGCTCCCAGATCCTCATGGACCTCAGCCATAAGGCCGTCAAGAGGCAGGCCAGCTTCTGCAACGCCATCACCTTCAGTAACCGGCCGGTTCTCATCTATGAGCAAGTCAGGTTGAAGGTGGGCCCTCCTCTCAGCCCCGGTCACGGCACCCCTGGGCCTCGGAGCTTCCCCCCACCCCGACCCCGGCCATTCCCACACGCTGTCCCTTCTCTTTTCTCTCTGTGGCCACGTCTGGTCTTCCTTGTCCCGCCTCTTTATCTCCATCTTCCTCGCTGCCTTCTCGAGCGTCCCTGTGTGATGGAGGAGGGGAGGCGGGGAGTTCCCTCTCACCCGACTTTGACTTGGGCGAGGCCGCGGGGGAGGGAACAGCCTGAGCGAGGCTGCCAGGCGGTGGGTCTCCCCAGGGCGTCTGCCTGAGGGTGATCTGCAGAGAGGGGCACACGCTTCCCCTGGGGCTCACTGATGGGGGGGGGCTGGGGGGCTGGGGGGCTGAGGTCAACCCCCTGCCGCCAGATCACCAAGAAGCAGTGCTGCTGGAGCGGGGCGCTGCGCCTGGGCTTCACGAGCAAGGACCCGTCCCGCATCCACCCCGACTCGCTGCCCAAGTACGCCTGCCCCGACTTAGTGTCCCAGAGCGGCTTCTGGGCCAAGGCGCTGCCCGAGGAGTTTGCCAATGAGGGCAACATCATCGCCTTCTGGGTGGACAAGAAGGGCCGTGTGTTCTACCGCATCAACGACTCGGCCGCCATGCTCTTCTTCAATGGGGTCCGCACGGCAGACCCGCTCTGGGCCCTGGTGGATGTCTACGGCCTCACGCGGGGCGTGCAGCTGCTTGGTGAGTGGCCACTCCTTCTGGTCCCTTAGGTGCAGGGCCCACCTCCAACTGCTGTGCTCAGATGCTGCTCGCCACCATCAGGCATGGGGGTCTCCCCACCCCCAGAGCAGCCCCGGGCTGAGTGGGCGATTCTTGGAGCCTGAGTGTGGCCAGCAGATCACCCCCTTTGCCTGACCCACAGCTGCGGCCAGTGGCGCGTGGGTGAGAGTTCTGTCTCCGAGGCCCCTGAGGTTGTGGCTTTGAGCAGTTCACACCCTGCACCATCACACACGGCAGCCTTGAGGACCCCACCCAGGAAGTAGTTAACATTAGGTGGCAAAACTAGTTTATAGAGCACTTGCTATGTGCACGTGCTTTGTTATCACTGTTCCCACAGCAACCCTGGGAGGCAGACTCCTGGGCCTGTGGATGGGAGAGTAGGCTCAGAGTAGTTGAATCACTGGCCAGGAGGTGTAGCAGGTGAGTGGCAGAGCCAGCTGCAGTCCCTAGTAAGCCCCTGACCACCCCTGTCTCCCAAGTCCAACCCCACACTCATGTTTTTGCAGGGATGAAGGTGAAAGGGGAGAGAAAGCACTGGGGAGGGGGGGAGTTCCTCTGACTTTCCCTGGTGTTCCTCCTTAGCTGCTGCCTTTGAGTTTCTCTCCTCTCTGAGGAAGTCACTCTGCCTTGGTGACTCTGCGGATAGGCCTGTCTTTCCTGGGATGATTTCTCCCAAACTAGCGTCTCATCTCCAGAGATATTCTGCCAGATCTTCCCTATCCCCTCCTGCCTCTGTCTGGAACTTATGACCAAAGTCTTCCAAACCCCACTTGGCTTAAATCTGCTTTTCAGATCAGAGACATCCGGGGCTACCTGGCACATGGGAGGTTCACAAGTCAGGTCATGGACAGGTGGGCCGTTTTCCCAGACAGACTGGAGACAGGGCCTGGTGTCCCTCCCTGATGAACGCCTCCAGCAGGTTCCCTGGCCCTGGTCCTCATTGCTCTAACCATAACCCAGACCTCCTGGTGCCCATGTCACAGCTTAGTGGGCCTGCTTGGGGCCTTCCAGGCTCCTCCTCATGCTGGAGTTCAGCAGATCACCCTCTTCCCTTGAGGCTCCCTGGCCCAAGCATGAGCTGGTATCTCTAAGAATAACAGCTTCCTACCTCCAGGAAGAAGGCTCTGCCAGCAACTAAATAAACACAAGTTTTATGGGGTGATTAATACTTGGAGAGATAAGCTCCTATCCCAGTTTTTCAAGGTTTCCCTGCTCCTCTCAGAAATGTTGGCTCAGGAAGAACAGCTATGGATCCTGGAAGAAAGCTGTTGAGCCAAGACTTACTCACAGGGTACTCCTGAATACCCCTATGTATCCATGGCAGCCTAGGCACTAACCTGGGGTGGGGCTGGGGGCTTAGCAATGGAAAACTCAGTTCCTTTCCTTGAAGAGTGTTTACTTTGAGGGACAGACTATGTAACCTCTCTGAGACAACCTAAAACCAATCCTGCAATTAAGTGTGGGTGAGGAACACAACTGTGGGGTATAGGTGGGGGACAATCCAGGAGGACTTTCTGTAGGAGGTGAGTTTCAAGTTAGGAACCAAGGGAGATGAAAGAATGGATTGGCTGAGGAGGAACAGTTTAGTTCAGACAGGAGAGGTGTGCATAGACAGAGGTAGAGAATTAGCAGCCAGCCCAGGAGCAGATCCTTGAGGGGAGGGTGTAAAGTGGAGCAGCAGTGGGTGACTGGAGAGGGGGTATGAATTGCTGTAGGTATGTGTATCCATCACAAGGGAGAAAACCATGAGAACAGAAAATTTCTGGCAGCTTCTGTGCTGCCACATTTTCCTGTAAGAACAAGTGTGGTTGACAATGGAGAAATGCAAGGTTCAGAGATGAGGAGGGATCTGAATAAAATTTCCCAACTGGTCAGCAGCCAGACTGGGTCTGGATTTCAGATCTCCTGTGCTGATCTTGGCATTAGGTCCGTGTGAGGAGATTTATTGCCAAATCAAAATGGTAGTGACTGAGTCAAGGAAGGTGTTAGCTGGCCAGTTCCAAAGGCTCCTTTGCCTTGCATGTTCCCAACCTATGCACATCTTGGTCAAAGACCCCAGCTGTCTACCGGGTTTTTGAGGATCAGGCTGCTGCTGGGCCAGTTCTTAGGGCAGGAGAACAGCCTGGCTGCCTGCAATAAGAGGCTGCGGCCTCTCTGGAGATAAAGTCCTGGGTCACGCCCACCATGCTGGATTTGCCCCAGCGACAGCAGAGTATGAACCATCCCTCCCCCACCCGTCCCCGCCCTAGCAGCTAAGGACCACACTGCCATCTGGGGCATCTGCTTCCCAGGTTAACCCAATATTTACCCTCAGCTGTGGCTGCCAAGGCCTGAAAGGTAAGTGTTAGTTTAAGGACACTAAGCTAAACTCTTGGGATGGGCGAAAGAGCTGAGGATGCTGATGGTGATCTCTTTCTCGTTGACAATTTTCATTTCTTCATGATTAAAAAAATCTTGCTGCTCCTTCTGCTCAGAGACTTCCAGCTACTTCGTTTCTGCTCAGTCCAAATTCTGCCGATTTTATCAGCACCCAACAGCAAATCCTTTGCTCTCTTGGGAAGCCTTTTCTAGCTGCCTGTTCTCAGCACCTGAAGCATGTGGAGGTCTAAGTGGTGCCGGCAGTCTGCTCCAGTGTCTTGTTCTTTAAGGACCTCACTCTTCTTCAATCCTCTTTGCCCACAGTGTAAAGAGAGCTATTATTGTACTGTTTTTGCAGATAAGGAATCAGAGGCTCAGAGAGGCCTGATAACGTGCCCTAGGTCACACAGCTGGTGGTTGGCTGGGATTAAGCTCAGGAGCCCACATGGACTGCTTTACTCCCAACCTCTCTAAATATGAGTCCATCTGGCCTTCCCAGTAAGCCTGGATTCCCTCCAAGGGTGGGGGCTGTGGCCCTCTGTGTCTTCCAGAGCAGTGCTTATGAGAGCTCAACGCACAGGGGCCAGTGCACATGTTGGGCACAGACTGACCACCATGGCCCACAGGATCAGCACAGGGCAGAGCCCAGTGGGGTGCCACAATCCGATTCAGCCCTGAGGGCTGCTTGGTCTGCCTTGTGGTTCCCTGCAGGCCCTGAGAGCTTTGTCCGGCTCTATTGCTCACGGTATGTGAGTTTCCTAGCAGAATGAATGTCTTGATATATAAAATGGACCCATATGTAATTGCCAACATTAGATTGTTTGTAATGTCCACAAATGGCAATTTCATGTTTCTATCTTGTGTCTCTTTGGCCTGAGAAATAGTCTGGGGATCTTGGAGAGACCTGGGGACCCCAGGGTGGGGGGTCTGTGCAGGGTGGGAGCTGGGGCTGTGCACTGTTGGGATCAAAGCCTGCATTCAGAAGGAGGAGGCCTGACTGAGTCAGGATTTGACATGGCCCCTCACTGGCTATGGGCAAGTCTCTCAGCTTCTCTGCGCCTCAGCCGCCTTGTCTATTATTTGCACATAATTATCCCTGTGCCGTTCCCCTCGCAGAGTGCGGGGCTGGTGGCTATGCCAACGTGTTTACACAAATGGGAAGGGCTATTGTTTTTAGGTTAAAAAGGGTTACCTAATTTAAAAATGCTACCAAAAAGGTAAGCCCTCGAGCCAGTTTTCTCATTGGAGAAGCAGCCTTTAAGCCAAGTCCCTGTGTCTCAATGAAAGTCTACCCGTGCAGTCTACACGGTTTCACAGAACAAGATGCATGGGTCTCCAGCTGGAGACCAGCTGGGTTCCTTGAGCACTGGGGTTCCACAGAGGCCTTTCTGAGCAACTGAGAGAAGCAGAGGGAAGGCTGGAGGTAGGGCCCTCATCCTCCCCTTCAGCCTCAAGCAGACCTTTTGGTTCTGTTCCACAAAGGAATCCACTGCTTAAAAATAGAGGGGTTGAGAACCACTCGACAAGATTCTGAGAACCTATGCCTTGAAGAGTCTATAAATCTAAGTTTGTGTCGCCAAGTGCTCCCAGGACATTTTGCATTTCCCTCCGTGAACCTCAGGAAGAGTATTTCTTGTAGTTTTCCCATGATTGACTTTACATGGAAAGAGCGGATGTGGGTGTGAATTTCAGGGCGCTGTCCAGAGGGGTGGAGAGACCCCTCCCCGGTCCAAGTCATGTACCTGCCTTTCCAGCTCCTACCCCTGCCCTGTGCCAGATGCTGCTGCCAGGAGGATGTTTATGGAGACAGCAAACGGCTGGCAGCACCTTCCAAACAGGGGCCACAGATACACGCCAGCCGTTTGGGCGGCTGCTGGCTGACCCCTAGTTAAAGATTATCCAGTGCTCCAGAAGCGAGAATCTAAACAAACAAGTCAGGCTGATGGTCGGCCCTGCTGCAGAGGAGGCCTGCGCCTGCCCCCGGGCCCCCTGCACTGGTGCCTGGGTAACCCTGCGCTGGCTGGCAATGTGTGGGGGGCTTTAAGGGGTCTCTGGCCGGGAGTTGGCTCAGTGCCCTCAGCCTGGCCCTCTCCTTCCCTCCCTTCCTTTCTCCTCCCTGGCCTTGCTCCGACTTCTCCAGCCATTTGCTAACACAGTGTCCTGACCCAATGCCTCTCGCTCCGTCTATCAGTTCAGACTCTCTTATCCTGCAGGTCAAATTTTGTTTCTTCCAAGGTGGCTTCTCTGACTCACTCTGAAACAAAAAGGGGGCCTTAGCCTCAACTGGAGCGCTTTCCCTAGAAGGGATATTTGTCCTAAGGAAGAGGAGAGGGCCCAGGAATGGATGCAGGATACATACAGACCTATGCAAGGGGAGTTTTTCTAATAGGCGTTGTTGTCAATGCTAGGGGGTAGGTGCTGAGCTCCTTGTCCTCAGGGGCATTCCAGCTAAGGCTGGGTGAGAACTTGGCAGAGATACAGGAATTTCCTTGTTTTCTAAAGTCCTGTTTAACCCGAGACGCTAAGAATCTTTTTTTTTTTTAAATTTGTTATTTTTAAGTAGTTCTTTTATTTATTTATTTTTAAAGATTTATTTATTTATTTATACAAGCACTGGGTACAGTCAGAAGCGCGGGAGGGTGAGAGAATTCACCAGAGCCAGAGTGGGGAGCAGAGCAGGCAGAAGGACCGAAGTACACTGCTGAGGGGAGCAGCGGGCGGCAGGAGAGGTCTGCGCGCCATGCGGGACCCTCCTCTGGTGGCCGGGGAGCAGCCGGCGATCGAACCGGCGCTGCAGAGGCTGTGGGCAGCTTCGCAACCCAACGCTCAACCGCTGCGCCACCGGGGAGGCCCAGATGCTAAGAATCTTATAAGAAATTGTACTCAAATATTTTCATGCTTCCAAGTTTTGATTCTCCCGAGGGCACCCCCGGGCTGAGCACACAGTCGATGGGTACCCTGAGTACCACCCCGAGGGGAGAAACCGCTTGGCCTGGACCTCCTTGTCTCTTTGGGGTCTGGTGGTTTCTGCTCGGGCCCAGGAGGTCTGCAGAGCCACCACTAGGCTCCGAATTAGGCAGGAGCTGGAGATTGACGAATTCCTCCTTATAAGAGGGGACACGAGATGAGGCCACTTCTGCGGCTTCTCCCCACGCCTGGTGCTGCTCCTCCCTCATCATAAACACCTCCAAAGTGGGTGACCACGGGTCCCAGGCAGAGATTACATAACTTGTTGCTTCCAGATATGGGGCCACCCCACTGATTGGGGTTGTGGGATGTCTGATTGGCTTTTTCCAGGCTGTTCCCCATGGTACAGTCCCATGGTGTTCTCCCATGGGTTCGAGGGTTGGGACCCTCCCCTAACCACTGACTTGACGTCGGCTCACTGGGCTGTGACCTTTGCTGTCTCTCTGCAGAGGGTGCTCTGACCAGCTCCTCCATCTCGAGTTTCATCTATTTCAGGGCCCCAGCGCAGCTGGGCCCATGGATGGGGTGGTTATTTTGGGGCTTGCTGGCAGCCTGCAGCTGCTCCTGACCCTGTGGGGTGGAGGGGATGGAGGAAAAGACGTACTTGGACTGGGCACTGGCCCCAGGGATTCTGTTTTTAACTGTTTCCCAGCATCTCCTCTACTTCTCTCCCAATTCTAGCCACATTCGAACAAAGTCAAAAGGGTCATCTTCCTACCCCCTGCTCTTCTCTACCTCTCACTCTCCTTCCTTTTCCTTTTCTCCTCTGATCTCCACTTTGTAGCCTCTCCTTCCTGGTCTGTAGTCAGTGATGTCACTGTTATGTCTCAGGTGCCTATTGTGGCTGATGTTAAAGTCCTACATTCAGGGACAAAAAGTGAATTGTCTGAGTGCAGGTGCACGTGACTTTTATTGACAAACTCAGCCTGAGCAAATACTAATATCTGAAGTTAGCAAGTACCTAGAAGCCAGGTGCTTTCCACCCTGTCTTTGATCCCTGCAAGATCCTAGGCAGGTATTATTACCCCTGTTCTTCAGGTGAGAGATGGAGATAGGGAGGAGTGTTGCTGACGCACAGGCTACCAGTCAAGTGCTGGATTACACGTTGAAACCAGGCCTATGTCATCCCAGAGCCCATGTACTCTCCACTGAGCCACCCGCCATGGCTCGTATTAACCCAGTGGTTCTTATGTGCCAGGTACTTTATTAGGTGCTCTTTATAGCTTATTCCATTTCATCTTCACAGTATCCCTTCTGGGAGTGTGTTAAAATGCAGATTTTATACAGATTATTAATTCTGATGTAACTGTTCTAAAAGGGAAGCCCTAAGAGGGGAAGCTATTTTTCCAAAGTCATTAGTCAGAAAATGGCAGAGCCAAGATTTGAACTCAGGCTGATGATTTCTAAGTTCTTGCATTTAGGGATGCTTCTATCTTGTCTACTTGTCAATGGATTTTGGTTACTAAAATGCCTACAATTTTCTTAGGTCACATTATTAGATGTATTGGTACGTATCAAGGGAGGTGATGGCCACACCATAACTTGAGCTGGTCCAGAGCATATCGGGAGCACTGAGTCTGTTCTGTTCATTGTCCAAAACGTGGGAGGTATGTGGGAGTGAGTTATTTCCTGAGGAGAGTTGTCTTCACTGTGGGGCTGAGAGGCAGCCCCAGAGGTAGTGGTTTAAAGATAGGGAGGCAGATTTTGGTTTGAGAGAAGGAAACACTTCTAAAGAGAGAGCAGCTCAACAGGGTACAGGTTTCCTGGGAGGTAGCGAATATCTGGTAGTGGGTATAGTCACCTAGAGGATTCCTGAAGGAACAGAAAACAGAGCAGGTCACATCTAGCTCCATTCAGAAATGTGTTATGAGGGTCTGGCTGGCTCCACAGGCCCAGGACTGAGTGTCCTGAGTGGGATGGGGATAGGCGCGTGGGAGTACACAGGTGTACGGACTCCTGTGACAGCCTTGTTCCGTAGGCCCTGGCAGGGCATCTCTGAGTCACTTGTTTGCTCCTCACTCTGCTGTCACCATCCCATCTCCTCTGTCTCCAGTCCTTTGCGTCCTGGAATCCCTGAGGGGTGGGGGAGAAGGGGCTGTTCCCTGGGTGGAGTCCTCCCCAGCTTTCCACTATTGTCTCATGCCTCCCCCTCCTGTCTGGGCCCTCCACACCTCTGCCTCTCTGTAGCCCACAGCCTTTGCACCATTGCTATCACAGAGTCAATTCCCTGGAATAATCGCATTTTCCGGTTGGCTCCCTCCTCCTTTGCCAAGCACGATGCTGGGAAATCCCAACCAGCCAGGCCCCAAGAGGCTACTCTGCAGTGAGACAGTAGACTTGGGGGAGGATCCAGCACCCTCTCCTTGCCTGGGTCCAAACAACACTTCCTGGAAGGGGGCAGGGCTGAAGAAGAACAACAATAGGGAGGCTTTCAATACTCTGAACTCAGCAGGAGTGAAATTTTGGCCTCTGCTACCCCTACCAGTCCAGTCACCCACACTCCTCACACGCGGGCAGCCTAGCCATCCTTACTTCCTATAGAGAAAGCAGAGTTCTCTGAGAGGCTCAGAGAAAAGTACCTAAATTTGGGTACTTTGACTTCTGCAGAGGGGGTTCAGGAAGCAGGGAAGGCCTGAATGTGAAGAATGTGGTGTCAGGAGGTGAATGGGCCAGTTTCAGTCCTGGATCTGCTGCTTGATGGCTGACTCATAACATCATTGAGCTTTATCTGTACAATGGGAACACCTCCATGGGCGTCTTTAAGGACAAAACGGGGTAATTCATCGAGCATGGTGATGACTTTTATTGTAAGTTGTAGAACCCCATAAAGCAGGACATAGCACAGCCATTAAACAATATGGTGTTAGAAACATGGTTAGTGGCACAGAAAGGTGTTCAGGACATAGTAAGTAGAAATGCGAGTTTTGAAAAGGATATCTGCATAGCAGGGCTTTCCCTTGGCACCCGTGGTTGTTGGATGGCCTGTATAATTCACAGATGCCCTGAAATTATCCACAGAATTCAGGGACAATGTGCATTTTTCTGAGAGAGTTACAACATGTTCAAAGGGGTTTGTTACTCAGAAAGGGTTAAAAACTACTGCTGTCTATATAGCAAGACTTTTTGTGTTTTAAAAATAACAACATGCACTGAAAAAAAGGCAGGCAGGTATATATACAAATATGAATGGTTTTTTTTCTGGGTGGTGGGCTGACAGACGATTCTTTTTTCTTTAGCTGAACTGTCTTTTCTACAAAATGCACCTGTACTACTTGTATGATTAAAAAGTGAGAGGGTTCAAGTTTCAAGAGGTTATCTTGGATTAATTTACTTAGTTTATCTCAGCTCAGTGTCCTTCTGTGGCAACGATAACCCCAAAACGTAATTGTTAGGATAAGGCTGAGGCAATTTACACAGAAAGGGGTTCTGGTGAGGGGGGGTTCCTTCTGACATCCCAGTGGAAGTGCATCCACAAATATTTACTGTGGCCTAAGTGCTGGCGCTGTGCTAGCTGCTGGGGATGATGAACTCCCAGGAGTTAAATTAAACTCCCCCAAAGCTGTAGAGCAACCGTATTTTCAATTCTGATGTCTTTCCCTCCAGCCTATTCCCTTGCTTAAACAAACAGATGTCCTGCATAACTTTGCAACTTTGCTCGCTAATTTATGTCGTAAACATTTTTATTTTAAAGATTTTATTTATTTATGCATACAAGAGCTGGGGCACAGGCCAGAGGTGTGGTGGTTGGGGAGTGAGAGGATTCACCAGAGCCAGAGCGGGGAACAGAACAGGCAGACTGAGGAAATACACTGCTGAGGGGAGCAGCGGGCGCGACAGGAGAGGTCTGCTGCGCCATGTGGGTAGCTCCCTGGCAAGGCCGGGGATTGAACTCATGCTGCAGAGGTGCAGATTGCTTCATAGTGCGGTGCTTAACCCCTTGCGCCACCGGGAGGCCCCTGCCCTACGCATTTTCTATGCTGTGGAAAGTCCGGTAAGCGCGACCTGAGGAAGGAGGCGGGGTGGGGGGGCCCCGCGTGACCGGCTCTCCCCCCTCCTTGGCCGCAGACAGCGAGCTGGTGCTGCCCGACTGCCTGCGGCCGCGCTCCTTCACAGCCCTGCGGCGGCCGTCCCTGCGGCGCGAGGCCGACGAGGCGCGCCTCTCCGTGAGCCTGTGCGACCTCAACGTGCCGGGCGCGGACGTCGACGAGGCCCTGCCCGCCGCCGGCTGCCCCATCCCGCAGAACTCGCTCAACTCGCAGCACAGCCGCGCGCTGCCCGCGCAGCTCGACGGCGACCTGCGCTTCCACGCGCTGCGCGGCGGCGCGCACGTCCGCATCCTGGACGAGCAGACGGTGGCGCGCCTGGAGCACGGGCGCGACGAGCGCGCGCTCGTCTTCACCAGCCGGCCCGTGCGCGTGGCCGAGACCATCTTCGTCAAGGTCACGCGCTCCGGCGGCGGCGCGCGGCCGGGCGCGCTCTCCTTCGGCGTCACCACGTGCGACCCCAGCACGCTGCGGCCCGCGGACCTGCCCTTCAGCCCCGAGGCCCTGGTGGACCGCAAGGAGTTCTGGGCCGTGTGTCGCGTGCCCGGGCCCCTGCATAGCGGCGACATCCTGGGCTTCGTGGTCAACGCCGACGGTGAGCTGCACCTCAGCCACAACGGGGCGGCCGCCGGCATGCAGCTGTGCGTGGACTCCTCGCAGCCGCTCTGGATGCTCTTCGGCCTGCACGGAGCCATCACGCAGATCCGCCTTCTCGGTGAGCGCGTCACGACGGCCATTCCACCCGCCCTGCCCCGCCTCGCCCCACCTCGCCCCACCTCAGCCCACTCCACCCCACCCCACCCCACCCCACCCCACCCCACCCCACCCCACCCCACCTCACCCCACCTCACCTCACCCCACCTCACCCCACCTCACCCCACCTCACCCCCGGGGCGCCAGGCCTTGGGAGGTGAAATTCGACCCTCTCCTCTGTGGGCCTCAAAGCTCATCAGATAGACCCTGAGGAGGGGGGACACGTGTGAATCAGTCTCGCTCACACTCCCTTAACCCAGATACACACCCGCCCGGGGTCACTTAAAAATGAGAAATATTGCTTCTGCCAGCAGTTAACTTTGTGAGGCTCAGTTTCCGTTTCTCCAGAATGGGAACAAAGGCCTCCACCTCTAAGGATGGTAGTGAGTTCTGAGTCAGAAAAATAGGCCGGCATGTTAGCAGCCAGGGGCGCGTGCAGGGTGGTGCCTGGAGGAAATGAGGTTGCAGAGGTTTGGGTCTTCCTTTCCTTTCCTGGGTTTGAATGGGCAGTTTAAATGGCCTGGGGGATGCGGATTGTGTGAGCCAGAGATTCTGGGATGGTTGTCCTTTGGAAAATGATCCTTGGGTCAAGAAAGCTTGGGAAGTACCAACTTTAAGAAAAACAAGGGATTCTTTGTTGCAGAACTTCTCAGAACCATTGATACGAATCTTGAAAGGAGGGGCTGCTGGTGGTTATGGCGTATAGCTCTTCTAAACTAATTTGACAAATGGTTTCTCAAAGCATCTCCTGGGACTTTGGTTACCCCAGAATGAACAGGTATTTGTGTTTTCTGATTTCTGGGCTAGCCAGCTGCACTGGCATGGACTAGTTCTATTGGATTCACTTGAAGAACCCACTAAGGTGCAGATTCTTGGATCCCACCTCCAGAGATTTGGGTTCTTTAGATCTTGGATAGGTCATAGGCATCTGAGTTGTTTTTTTAAAGCAAATTTGCTTAGACAATTTCAGAGACCTAGACCTCACCCCAGAAGCTTCATAGATAAGATTATGATCACTGAGTGCATGTATGTTTGTGTATGGAATGCCATTGATGATGGTGTGTATGTGAGTTTCTGAGGTCACATAAAATCAGTGGGGACTTCCTATTCTGCAAAGAGAACAGAAGAAGATGGAGTGAAGAATGAATTACAAAAGGAATGAAGAGAAAGAAGACTGGGGTGCTAGAAAGTTAGAATTGAGGAAAGATGTCAGGATGGATTGAGAAGAAATCAGGCTGGATAAAAATATATTGAGAAGGAAGGAAGTCGGAGTGAAGATTCAGGTTGGAGTAAAAAGAAATCAGAAAAAAAACTCAGGCTGAGGTTAAAAGATATTTGGCTACACTCACGAGGGGACACTGCTCCTCATATGAAGGAGATTACATAACAGCAAGGTACACTCTTGCCCCAGCACCATCTAATAATAGATGAGTAGCTTTCCAACAAGACTTCTGTTGCCTGGAGAGGCTTACTAGGCTTACAGAAACTTTGGTTGCCCAAAGCAAAGGAGATGCTTTAAAAAAAAAAAAATCAGGATTTAAATGTTTCAAGAGGCAAGTGGGCCAAGGTGGGCATTGAAGAATAATCAAACAGTATATCTAAACAAAGTATTCCTGAGCTGTTCCGACTTGGGCATCTCAACTAGCAAATTGGTATTAGGGGATCCCGACGCACTCCAAAGCAAAAACAAATGAGTGACAGTGTAGAAAGGTAATTATTTACCTTACAGAGAAATGCTTTGCATTGTTGAAGGCTTAAGTGAACTAAGACTGGAAGGATAGTGCCTTCATTCCAAAACTACAGCCAATTTCATACTTAGTGGTGAAATACCAGAAACATTCTCATTAGTCAGGAATAGGGTAGTGAAGCCTTCGAACAATGTTCTGAGAAGGCTAGCCAGTGTAATAAGGTAAGAAAAGCAAATAGGAGGTGTGCATTTCTGAAAGACGGAGCTGATAATTTAAACTATTAACAAAAATAAGGAAACCCTGTGGACACGTGATGAATATTCTTAGAAGTAGTAAGACTATTAAATGAATTTGAACTAAGAAGTACTAATAAAAAAGATCGCATTGAACAGCTACTGAGGTGTAGGGCATTATGTTAGGTCCTGTGGGAGAGTCAAAGGTAAATAAGATTTCCTGCTCAGGAAGCTCGTGGTTTAACTGGAGCAACGGCTGGATTCCTTGGCAGAGAACAGATAATACTCCAGGCTCTGTGGTGGTTTAGTCCTGTGTATGTGGGGTGTGGCGGGTCAGTGCTCGATAATGCGGTGGTGGGGAGTCCCGGCTGCCCAGAGGAGGGCTTTTGAGGACAGCCTCAAGAAGCTTCCGCCAGCAGTTAGCTCACTGGGGGCAGGACTCTGCCAGTCTGGTTTCCAGTTTCTGGATACACAGCACCCAGTACCTGGTAGGTCCTCGGCAAGGATTTAAAGAGGGAGAGAGGGATGGAGGGAGGAAGGGAGCAAGGAGCCTGGCAAGAGGAAAGTGAGGAGCGGAAGAGGGGAAGGAGCAAGGGCGGGAAGCAGGGAGGGAAAGAAGGCAGGACCAGAACAAGAGCGGGAGCGGAACCGGGCTTTCCAAGGTGGCAGAGCAGCAGAGAAGGTGGGTGACATCTGAGGTCAGAGAGGAAGGGTGCAGGCTCTGAGCCGGAGGGTGAGGGTAGGGCTTAAAGGGTGAGGGTGACTTTATTCTCTGGCACAGGAAATCTTGCAGGTGGAGGGATTCTAGGCAAGGGGCTTGCTCGGAGACGACTGACGTAAGCACAGCAGAGCATGCAGAGGCCCTCTGGTGTGCAGGTGGGAGCAGAGCAGGGGGCAGGGGGCTGGGCCAGCCAGCGGAATCCTGCCCAGAGCCCGCTGGTTGGCTGCACACTCAGCTGTGCCGCCCGCTTTCTCTCCGGGAGGGGCAGAGAGGCGGAGACTTTCTCTCAGTGGACCTGAGTGGCTAGGGTGTCCTTCCCTTCCCGTCCGCAGGTTCCACCATCTCGGCAGAGCGGGGCATCCCCTCGCTCCCCTGCTCCCCTGCCTCCACACCAACCTCGCCCAGTGCCCTGGGCAGTCGCCTCTCCGACCCTTTGCTCAGCACGTGCAGCTCTGGCCCTCTGGGCGGCTCTGCCGGCGGTGAGTAAGCTGGCCCTGCAGGGCCACGGCTGTGCCGGGCTGCCCCCCTCCCTGCCAGAGGCAGGAGATCGCCTCTGTATTAGCACTGGGACGCCAGAGGGGACGGAGACAGGCTCAGTGGCCGCCGCCCACAAGGGAGTGATTTCTGGGTGCAGCCTGTCTTGTCCCTTGGCTGGGCAGTTTTCTCCAGGGAACACCAAAGAATAGCTTAGTTGGGACCTGCCTTTAACAGATTTGGGGCCTCCTCATAGCCACATGGACACCTTGGCCCCTGATCTGGGAGCTGAGGGGCCATAGTGGCACTTCCCAGCCTCTTCTTTCCCATGCCCAGAAAGCTGGGTTGCCAGGGTAATAAAAGGCGGATCCTGATAAATGGGTGGAGGGTAGGAGGCCCCGGGGTTCTCTTTCCTGGAATGCAGGGCTGGATTGGGCTGGGTCCTGTCACCCCTGACTGGTGTCCCTCGCCCCCAGGGACAGCCCCCAACTCACCTGTGAGCCTGCCCGAGTCGCCAGTGACCCCAGGCACGGGCCAGTGGAGCGACGAGTGCACCATTTGCTATGAGCACGCGGTGGACACGGTCATCTACACATGTGGCCACATGTGCCTCTGCTATGCCTGCGGCCTCCGCCTCAAGAAGGCTCTCCACGCCTGCTGCCCCATCTGCCGCCGCCCCATCAAGGACATCATCAAGACCTACCGCAGCTCCTAGCCCGCCGCGGCGCCTACCCGACATGCACCTCTTCAGACTTTAGCCCAGGGACAAGCCAACAGGGCCCCTTCTCTTCTTCCTCGTTTTGGAAACTTTTCCCTTCTCCATTAAACATGGGAAACTGTGGCCCCTGACGGTTTGGGGGAGCAGGCAGGGAGGTGGGGGGCAGAAGCAAATTGCCTGGCAGAGGGGAGGGGAGTTGTTCACATTCTCCCTGTCTTCTTTGCACCCAGCTTTCCCCTGCATGCCGAGGAGCCAGGTTGGGGTCTCGGCCTGTCCTGATGCTTCCCCATCTTGGGCAGATTTCTAGGAGGCCCCTGTCGCCCATGTAGCACCTTTGTGAGAATTAGAAAACGTGTCCCTTGCTCTGGGCAGACATGACCTTGAGCCAGGACTAGTGACTTGGCTAGTAGACTTTAGAAGGGACTTTGGCCTCCACTTGCTCCCTCAGCCAACTGCCCGTGAGCAGCGCACAACCTGCTCCACAGCTGCCCTGGGCAGGCAGCTCCTTATTCTGACCTGTACCTACCTTACCCTTCCTCCCCTCCCTGCCCCTCGGACATGGGAGCCAGGGGCCAGAAGACCAGTGGATGCCTCTCACCCGGCCCCGCTGCAGCAGCCTCCATGCCCTGGCCCTCTCCTGCTCACCCAGGACGAGTGGACAGATGGGCTGCAGACGGCTTGGGGTTCTGGGTCCCTGGGCCTCTGCCCTGCCTGTGAAGAAGAGGCTTCCTTCCTGGTACCGCCTTTTGCTCCAATCATCTCACTGAATGCTGCTGCCCAGGCCGAGTGTGGGCAGCTTGTCCCCATGTGGTCGGAGAGCAGGGTCCGTCTCTTGTCAGGGTCTCAAAACAGGCTTGCATCTACTCCTGTGACTGTCTCCCACATCTCAGTGCTGTCCTGGGCTTGGCGATGCTCAGCGCCTGCGGCGTGCCCAGGAGAGGCCAGGGCTCTGAGCGGTGGAGAGGCCCCCTGCGGGAAGACCAGCCTTTCCCCTTAATTTATTTATTTATTTGGAGTTTCTGTTTGTTTTCTGTATTTGTGTGGGTGAGTTCCTATCCTCTGGGCCCCTAGAAATGTTGCCCTTATATGCGGGCATGAGAGCAGGCAACCAAGATAGTTATCACTCAGAATCTCCTCAGACTCCAGCCAAGGCCCATAGCTCTGCTTACCATGAACTGGAACTCCATAAAAAGGGGCTGGATTGAAGGGCCTCCTGGTAAAGTATGTCCATTTTATAAGAAAGCAGGCCAGGCGTCCATAATGCCCTGGGCTGGTGGCTCCCCGGGAGCCAGAGTGCCCTCTGTGGCAGGCCGGAGCTGGGTGATCATTGTTGACGCAAGCACTTCAGGAGGTTGTGGAGATCCCCCTTCCCTGAGGACAGTCAGTTCTGGGAAGGCTGAAGGGGGGAGCCCAGCTTTGATCAGGGAACTAGGGCTGGGGGAATCTGTTCTCAGGAAAGAGTCTACCACCTCCCAGAGTCTCCTCCTGTGGGAGCGGGATGAAATCGGGCAGGTGGTAGCCCCTGTTCTGTCGGGAGTCCCGTCTCAGAGGCAGAGAAGGTACTTGACCACCGGGAAAGATGGAAGGGAAGGAACTGGGTGCTTCATCCTGGTTCTTAGGTGAGGGGTCCCTTACCTGCTCTTAGGCCATAGTCACCTTAGCCCTAAACCCTGTCCTGATTGGTGTGGGCTGGGGCGGCTCTGAGTCTTGGTCCAGTGTCCTCCAATCCCCAAATGTCCAGCCCTCTGCTCCTCAGATGGCTTTTGTATTTCCACCAGAGACCCTCTGTGACCAACAGAGCAGGGGATTCTGGACCTGGCCCCTGACCAGTGGTGTGGCCTGTGCCGGGTCATCGTCCCTCTGAGCCTCAGCTGCCACCTCTGTAAAGGGATTGTTGGGGAGGAGGACTTTCCGGGTGATTCTCGGAGTTCGAGTTCGTTGTTGAGGGACTGCTGGGGGTGGCATGGTGGGAGCGCACCAGGCTGAGCCTGTTTGTGCTCGCCTCGCAGTGGGCCTTTGGGGAGTCACGATCCCACTCTGGGTCTCTGCTCCCCAGTCACTGACCCTGGAGTCCTGTTCTGTGGGAGTGGGTGATTTGGCGGGTGGTGCCCCCGATCAGTGAGAGGCCCCATCTCAGAGACAAAGCAAGCTCTTCATTTCTTTGGGGCTGTGTGGCTTGCGGGCCGGGAACGGAAGCCATATGTCCATTGTGTCTCTGTTAGTGTGGGGGCAGCTGCTGCCTCCTTTGTGAACTCGGGTCGCTGTGATTGTGAATAAAGGTGATTCGTACCGGCCTGAGGGCTGTGCTGTGCTGTGCTGTGCGGCGGCTGGCGCGGGCGGGCCAGCTTGCGGGCGTGCTTCTGCAGCCTGTGCGTGTGTGCCGGGGGCGTGGTGGCGGTGGAGGGCCGGGTGTCCTGGAGAGGAGAGGAGTCAACGCTCAGGGAAGCCGCCCTGAATCAAGTGGAGGGGCTGGAACGGGACTTGGGACTTGGACAACAGGGGCTGAAGTGCCAGGTGAACCTTGTTTCAATGAAACGGCGAAGCCACTGCCCTTTGATGGCCTCTGCTCCCAGAACTGTGAGGAGCCGCGTTGGCTGGGCCTGGGGCAGCTGGCGCCCGTGGGGCGGCGTCCACCCCCCAGGTTGAACCGCAGGGATTGCAACCGGGCCTGCAAAAACCCTGTGGAGTCGCAGCGCCACCTAGCGGCTAGTCGGGAGATGGCAGGCCCTCTGCTCCGGTTTTCGAGGGCTGTGCCGAGCAACCCAGAACCGGCCTCGGCATCCCTTGCCCCAGGTTCAAACCCCTGCTCCTGATTAGGAGGAGAAGTCTATGCCAAGTGGGTGGCACGGCTGGGCAGAAATGGGAAGCCTCTGGACAGAGACCTTTAGAGAAATCTATAGATGTGCCGTATACATCTGGCTGGCTACAGAAGCTGCAGTGGGCGAGGGGCATAGGCACAATGCGGGATTCATGTTCCTCTGGCAGGTCAGGCCTCGGAGGCACTGGGGGTGGGGTGTAGGGGGCGGTGAGTGCCATCCCCCTCTCCTGGATGATGCTCTGGCTGCCTAGCCTCTGCCTTGAACAGGTAGGGGCTGCTTGTTACACCGGGCCCTTCCAGCCCTGCTTACCAGAGTCCAGCTGAATAGGGAAGGGCCATCTGGCCTCAAGATCTGCATCATTCAAAGCCTTGGCCACATCTCCCAAAGTGCCCCTCTCTCTCTCTCAGGGGGGCGGGGTGGGGGGAGGAGCCTGAGCACCATTCTCACCAATAGAGCTGGGAACTTACCTGTACCCACACCCTCATTCTGCAGTTTGGCCTGCGTTCAGGATAATGTGGCTTTTGCAATTGAGCTGGATGGGTTTTCTGGTGGCAGGGAGAATTAAGAGATGATTCTGTTCCGTTAAAAAGGCCAAAAACTTTATTTAGTTCTCAAGGAAATACAAGATGCATGTAAACATAAAATACAAAACAAAACCCAAATCTTACAGTCTAGAAGCATGCCAAAACAGAGCTTTTTCTGCAGACCAACGAGTCCCGTCAAAGTGATAAAGGACACCTGGAAAGTGGCAGGCCAAGGAGCTGGGTCCCTCCCCCATGGACACTGCATTTGTGATGAGAACATTAAAAAGAAAAACCCACTATTAAAAATGCTAAAAACATGAAAATAGTTTAGCACCACCATTGGAAAATTTTTAGCAGTCAATTGACCATCCTAAATTCAATGTCCTTTTCTTTAGTTGTTCTGCTGACAGGGGAGAGGGAGCAACCTCCTTCTGGCCCCACAGAGCCTACCAGGAGCTGGGAGGAGCTGAGTGGACACCATGAGGAATTCCCCAGCCGTCTGGAGCCTCACAAGATATCCAGCAGTTTGCGTTCACCACGAAGTCCATGTACCCACTCCCCAGGGCCTGCCATTCACATCTGCCACCCTCGGAAGTCACTTTCCTGCAGACCCCTCAGTAAATCCCTTCCTCACCCCGTGTCCTGGGTTTAAAGAAAACCTGTTGCAGATTAAAGAATGGTGGCTTCTGTTTACCCTTCTTTTTTGGGGGGACTAAAACACTTAAGATTCTTGGTGACAGTCACTACAAATGAAGGGGCCTGTCCACTTACGAGTGCACTGTACCTAGCCACCTGACTCATGCTGGCGAGGCAGGCTTAGTAAACAGCCCCTGCAGGTACCACTGGAGAACAACAGTTCTCCAGTGGTGCCAACAGTTAAGAGATGGCCTTCCTCTCAGGGCTCTTCCTTCCATGGGGTCTGGACCCTGGGGTCAATTTGGGCATCCGGGGTCTCTACCGCATGGCCTGTTGTGCAGTGGGCTCTAACTGAGTCAGGCAACCTGAGAGGCTAGGTCTGGGTTGGACAAAGGGGAGTGGGCAAAACCTGGGAGATGGTGAGTGTTCTGGAACGAAGGCCTTAAACTCAAAGATTGGTTTGTTGCTGGCAACCTCCCCTTCCCACTAAGTCTGTGATCATTTATTACAAACCTGCAGGGGACCCTGCTTGTGACCCAGCAAGTAGCTGTTTCCTTGGGCCCACTTCTTTGCTGGCCTAATCTTGGGGCTTTTCCAACCTGCTCTGGCTAGACCCTTGGTGTTGAATCAATACATTCCCTCCTCAACTCTCTTCTGAAACAAAATTTACTTCTCCTTCTTTCTAGTAAAGACAAATGCCAGACTCTACACCCTCTCTTAGACTTCTACCTTTTTCTTTTCTGCCTACAAGACATCTTCTTCTGGAAGCCTCCTTCCCAGGAAAGGGCTGGTAGGCCCCAGCCACCCCAAACATGCACACGCTCAGCTCACCAACGTGCTTCTCACTCACCTCCAACATGCTCAATCTGTCCTTTTGCTTGAAACCAATTCTCTCTCTCTCGCCTCCTGGGTCCATGAGCCAGGATGGAACGGGGAGGAAGGCAGGTCCTTCAGCACAGGGGCCCATTTTTTAAGGCCACTAAGTTCTAGGACTGGAATGGGAGTAGGGGTTGACTGTCACTGATTGTCAAGGTCAAGTGCAAACTCAAGATTAAAAAGATAGGATTGGGGAAGAGGGATTGTGTGGTAATCACCTCCCAGGTAGGACAAAACAGAAGGGAAGCTAAAATCAGTGGAACTATTTTTTTCTGAAATGAGGCTATAGGTCACTGACCCCTTTTCTGTCACTGGCTTTATTCACAGAACTTGAGAATCACTGAGGCATGAGGCTGCCCCCAAATGGATCATGATACAGGCAAAAAGCTCAGTCAGATTGAAGGGGAGCCCGCTACACTATTCCCATGAGGTGCTCACTGGGGTTGTAGTCTAGACCCAGGCGGTGATGCAGATGCATATGCAGGTCTGCTGAGCTCACCGTGAACCAGTGCTCCTGACCTGGCCCAGAAACACACCACCAAGGGCCAGCAGCTTTATTCTGGGAGGACTCCCAGTGTCCACATGCATGGGAATGGTGGGAGCCTGCCTGCTAGCTAGCACCTCTGCAGGGGTGACCCAGGTTAACCACAGCGCTTCTAGACCCAGTGGCATCTCTTTTGCATCTTCATTTTGGAGCCAGGATGATGGCCTAGGCTGCTGCTGCTAGATCTGTTAATGCCAGTGTGAAGTTTCAAACTAAATACTTAACAAAAATAATTACCAAACCAAACACATTGCACTCTCCAGCCAGAATCATGTGTGTGAATAACACATACTTGCTGCCAGAAGCTGCCAGTCCCGTGGGGCCTGCCCAATGCCAAGGACTTGTTCAATGGAGACAGCTTGCCCAGTATTTTTTTCTCTAACCCCATGTTATTTCGTTCAAGTGGGAAATCACCAACTCACACGTACATGTGTGTATGCAAGAGTGCACACACACACACACAAACACACACACATACACACATACACACTTAACAACACACAGCCCTCAAAAAAGCGAGGGAATCAATTTTTTTAGCGATGTGGATGATTCTTTCCAGAGAAGTGCTGCACGGAGATTCTCAAAGTTTGGCCATATAGGTGTGTACTCTTCAAGGAAAGACACCCCCCAACTCCTAGACTTCTCCCCACAGGCCAGTCTCACTCTGGCACACAGCTCCATCTCTCCACAAATTCACCAGCCGAGGGGTCAGAGCAGCAGGCATACAGTACTGAAGCAGAAGGGACTAAGCTCCAAGGGCTCAGGCCCAGACTTCCCGGCCTGCTGCTTTCCCTGCTAGCGCTGGTTAGGAGGAGAGTGGCTTGGTACCTACGCTGGGAAGTTCTGTCTGCAGAGACCTGAATGGATCTCTCAAACTTTTCTGAGACCCTCTGGGACTGTTTGGGGGTGCTGCGCAGAGGCAGGGCTCACTCCTCAGGCTGAAGTCATTGAGATGAATGGGTGGCCGGGGCACAGCACCAGGCTAGCTGCAGGCTTGGGGGAATCAATGTCTGACTGGGGTATGTAGGCACCCACATCCCCTAAAAAGGATTTGGTTACATCTAGGGTTCCAGCCCATAAACTGAACTGAGGTTACATAGTTTTAGATAGACTCAGACATACATCAAAAGGATCATGGCCCAAACATCAGCAGACTGGGGTGAGAGGGGGCTGCCGGGAGTGACTTTTAGGCAGGTCTTTCTGTGCAGCTGGCTGAAAAACAGCGGGAATGAAGACCAGGAAGGGTTCTTGGGTACCCTTGCTCTGTTCTAAGGGCAAGAACCCCAGGCCGTTTCCCTGAATCCCTTTCTTCTGGGTAGATGAGACCCAGTAGGAAAAGGGGCTACCCTCTGGAGGGGACCCCTGCTACCTTGCCAGGGCAGGAGAGGGGGAGAGAAGCGGGGCTAGAGATCATTACCTACCAGGCCACTTGCCTGACGCCCAGTTACTACCCAGGAGCCCCGCCTCCTCCCTCCCCCTCGGCTGACCGTGCCCCTGGGCCTCCCACCACTGTCCCAACAAGCCTTGGCATCCCTCTTGATAATATTGCACTTTTCCTGTCTCTCAGATTGTTTTCATTTTCTATTGAGAATGCAAAGTATTTGGAGAAGGTGGGAGAAGTGAGTAACCTTAAAGAAATAATATATTAAATACAAAAACAGAAAAAAAATAGGGGTTACTTTATCTGTTTTTTTTTCCTTAAAAACAAAACAAACTACCAAACCAAGGTCTAAACTTAAATAGTTCTACGCCTACTCTGCAAATACTAGTAATATGAAAATAATGCTTGACCGAAATTCCCTTGTATTTTCTCCTTAGATGATAAAAGTAGTAACATGCCTTGCTGAGGAAAGCGATGGATATAAATGCCAGTAAAATATGCTGCTCTAACATCTGAAAGTGATTAAACGATTCTATATAATGCCTTCGTCATGACAGAACCGAGGAAGAAAGTAAAGCCTTTGGGGCCAGGTAGGGGTGGATGGGACAGAGCGCTCTGGAGAGAGCCTGGCTACAGCCCCCAGAGGGGAAAACCCTGAGGGGCAGGAGGCACACCTGCTGCTCAGGCTACCCTTCCAGCGTCCTCTTGCTACCCCCACGGCCCTTTGGCCTAGTGGGAACAGCATGGAGGGCCAGGGAGCCCAGCCAGGCCTGTTGTAAAGTGGGAGAGAGATGAAGACATTTTCCCCCTTGAAACACAAGAAAAAAGTTTAAACTGAAAGAAAAAAGCACCAAACGATGCATCTTCGGGCATTATATAAACCTCAATAATGACCTCAGAAGGGCTCATTATGATTAAAGTTGCAGTATACAGCAATACGATGTCATTTCACATTTTCAATCACAAGTAATGGAAAACTAGGTTTGGACACTGCTGAGATTTCATTTTTATTTTTCCATTTTTAGTCCGATCTGGTTTTCCTCCAGATGGGTCAGAGCTACAGGCCCCCTGCCCGCTCCACTGCTGCCGGCAGTGCTCTCCAACATCACAAAGCAGCTCAGTAGCTCTAGGGAAAGGCCTCCTGCCCCGGGTAGAGCTAGGAGTCCAGAGGCACAAGGCCTGGCACTCGCTGGCCATGACTGAGAGGGACTGGCATGCACCCTTCTTGCTTCAAGTATTACTATTCTCTTTGGGCTTGTGCCGTACTGTGAGTTAGGGGGCGATGTGAGGGGTGAGGTGTAAAGATGGGGCCTGGCAATCCCTGTTCACTGCCCAAATCTACATGCCGTCACCAGGTGGTAGCAGTTCCCACTTCTCCTGGATGCCTGAGCAACTCCCAGCCATCCCGAGGGCTGGATGTCACAATGTAAACACGAGGACCGCACACTAAACCACGCTGTGGGTGGGGGGAGCGCAAGGACTGCTGCAGTGGGGAGCCCTGCTGCTAACTAGCTATGCGCCTTGGGGAGAGGAATTGTCTGTCTTTGGGCTGGCAATAATAGGACGAGAGCAACGACCTTCAAGGTCATGTTTAATGACTACCACTCAGAGCACGGGGGGAACTGGGAGAACAGGGGCCTTGGGGGTGGTGGAGAGCCCCAGGGGGCAGTGCAGACAGTGAGGAAGGGGAGGGAAAGGCAGGCTCTGGGGAGCAGTGTGGTCCAGTCCAACTGAGATGCTCTGCGCATGGCAGCTGTGTCCTGCACTCCTTCCTGGCCTGGCTGGCACTTGACTGATTGAACTGGCTCAGTGCAGACATATGAGGAGTGAGGCCGCTGGGGCCTTCCCCCTGGAAGATAGCTACGTGGAAGGTCCTTTAACCCGACAGTCACTCTACTTTTAAATTTTATTTTAAATAATCATAAATTACTTTTTTTTCTTTTAATAAATATGTGCTGTTTAAAAATGAGAAAAGTATATACTGCATCTTTAAGTAATGCACTTTGCTCTCTGGGTTTCTTTCCATTCTACTTATTAAAGTGCATTAATTAAAAAATAATGAACCACTTCTTTATCATTATTGTTCAAATAAGTCCAAATAATAATACTATGAAGACACTAAACCACTACCATTAGTACTGCAATCTAGCAGATTAACTCAACATCCTGCTCTATTTAATACTGTCCAGCAGAAGAAAATAACTAATTTCAATGTTAAACAAACTGACAAACAAAACAAAAGGAAACAAAATGATCTCGCCATGGCCCACCCTTCGACAAAGAACTCGAGCAGTTTGCTGTAGCTGCCAGTCTTCAGTGTATGGGAGGGGCCAGGGCAGGGGGAGGTGGCCGCGCAAGGCCTTGGGGTGTGGGGGTATTGAAGGCACCAAGATGCTGGGTCCCGGGCTGATCTTCAGGCAGAATATACTGCCCGGATGGGCAGCGGGGTGGGGGAAGACCTTTCCTCCTTTGTGGAGAACACCAAGCCTTAGTCCAGTATTCTGGAAGCTGAATCCATGGCTGTGAAGCTCGTCTCTCTGAAATCAAAGGCACGTGTGGAAATCCACTCCCAGCAAAGGGTGAGTCCTTGGCGAAGCCCCTTCGGCTTTTAGAGGGTCCCCTCTGAAATCTCAACGATTGAAAGACACAACCCAAAGTTGACAGGGACTTTATTCTTTTGCTTCTCTTTGCAGGGGCACCGCCCCTCTGGAAGACCAGGTCGGCTCCTGGCTCGGGGGTCCTCCATCTCTTTGGGCACCTGTGGCATCGCCTGTAGGCCAGGGGGGTGGCTGGTGGTGTTTGCTCCAGTCTGGCCCTGGGGGGCCCAGTTGGGGTCCCCTGAGCCTAGGGTAGGGGCATTGGTTGCTTTTCCACAGTTCACATGTAAGCTTTGCGATCCTGCCCAGGCGGGAGAACTGAACGCAGAAGGCCGTCAACCAGCAGCAGGGAGTGTTCTCTTCTCCTGAACAAACCCTCCTCCCTCCTGGGGAGAGGTGTGCCCACCGAGGCTGGGCAAGAATCAGAGCAGTGTCTGTGCTTTGCCCCCTATGGGATCTGGGGCTTCCCCAGCCCCTTACCCCTCCGGCAAGCACCGCACTTGCTGCTGCCTGCACCGTGGGAACCAAATGAAACGACTTTGACTTGTGGAAAGGAAGATTGTGAAACGTAAGACAAACCACCTCCCCGCCAGGGCAGGACAGAAGAGCCCCGCCCTCGACCAATCCCCTCCCGTGAGGCTGACCGCCCTTAGGCCCCCAATCGACTCCTAAAATAACACCGAAACCGAAGGCTCAACAGACACCCCAAATCAATAAACCTCTTCGAAAACATGCAAAGGAAAGAACCTCCGCTCCCCAGAAATATCCAAAATAAAGTCTGTGCAGACTGAAGAGACCAATGGCTTTGCTGCTACCCTTGGCAAACTCTGGGGCTGGTGGCCCTCTACAGGGCAGGGCAGGTTCTCCCAAGGTCAGGGGTGGGGATAGCTAAGAAAGGGGTCCTTGCTGCACTTGCAGAACTGCTTTTACGTCAACTAACAGCATAGACAGTGGCCTGGCCCAGGGACAGGCTGCGCTCACAGGAGATGCCTCCCAGCCCCAGAGTCGGTGCTGCCTGTCTTCCAGCGCACCCACCCCAGTGGGCGAGGCAGTTCCTGGGGTACAAGCACCATTCCCAGATACAGATCGGGGTGATACAAGGGCTACCTCTGGTGGCAAGACACCGGTGGCGGAAACTGGGCTGGGCCCCCATGGCCACATCGTCTCCGGATCTGTGGCCCAGGCACAACATGGTCTATCCCAAATGGCTCCGGATGCGAAGTCATCAAAGTGCACATGGGGCCGCTGGTCCCCTGCCCATCCCTGCTTGACGTGTGTCCCCTCCAGAGCCCACCTTCCACCTGGAGGACAGACTGGAGGGGGGCATCTCTGAGGGTACATATTCTGCAGGGTTTAAGGTTGGCCTCCCCCCACCCCCCTCCCACCTTCCCTTCCCCTTTTGTCTTCTCTCACCACATCCACACGGAGGCTGGAAGGACCCGCGCCCTCTGCTAGTTCTTTTTCTCAAGGTAGTTGGAGGGCACCCAGCCTTTAAAGGGCTTCACCCCATCGAGGATCTGGCAGTACCACCAGCCGTTGGGGTTCTTCTCCAGGACCTCCATGGACACCCCCTCCTGGAAGCCCGCCGTCTCCTCATCCCCCTCATAGTCCGCGATCGAGACATATACATCTTTGAGGTTGTTGTGGATGAACTGGGACTTCTCGATGGGCTTGGGGCGCACCGGGGACACAGGGATGCCGTTGCGCTGGGCGGGCTGCAGGGGCGCGTCCGAGCCCTGGCTGGCGGCCCGTTCGGGGAGGCGGCCCTTGGCCTCGGCGGCCGCGGAGCGCGCGGTGCTGAAGGAGGAGTTCCGGCGGACACCCCGGAGGCCGTCTGTGGCTGTGAGCGACTCGTTCCTCCTCAGGGCACAAGACAGGTTGTTGTCCTTGGGGGGCGGGGACACAAACACCGACTGGGGCCTCACCGCCACCTGCCGCACGCCATTCCTCATCTTCACGGCGCCAGCACCCGAGGCCTTGCCGAAGCCCCCGGGGGGCTTGGAGGGGATGGGCGGCGTCGCCCTCTTGCTCTGGTTGACTGTGTTCAGCGCTTGCACCCGCTTCTCAATTTTTTCCAGGCTGTCGGACTTGCCCTCATTTTGCTTGCTCTTGGCGGTCACGGCGTCCTTGCCAGAGGCGTCAGGTTGCTCGTTCTCACCCAGCACCAAATAGTGGGAGGGGGCCCAGCCCTCCAGGTCCCCAAACCTCACGTACCACCAGCCGCTCTCTAGCTTCTCTAGCACTTGCACCTCCACGCCCGCGGGGAAGCTGATCTCTGAGTCCTGGACCTTCTGGTAGGCACTGCACGTCACGTAGGAGGTGGGCTGCCCTTCTCGCCCCTTCTTGGTGGGACACGGGGGTGTGTTGGCTGGGAGGGTGATGAGGTCGGCCGAGCCTCTCCTGGACCCTTCACTCTGACTCTCAAAGGCCGTCTGGGGGGGCAACTCTGAATCCTCACTCTTCGAGCCCTTGAGCCCGCCCCGGAGCTGGCCTGTGGGTCTCAGCTGGCGCCGTAAAGTGCTGATGTCCATCTTCTCTTGACTCTGCGACTCTGCTCGGTTCAGAAATGGTTTGGGCCGGACTGAAGGCTTGGCCCGGGCACAGGAGGTCAGTCCGGCCTTCAGGTCAGTGTCCTTTTTCAGCCCAACCTTGGGAGTGCCGCGGATGCCAGCGTCCGAGGCAGAACGGGGCTTCAGGTCAGCACTGTTCTTGGACAGGGAGGAGGAGGAAGAGGAGGAGGAGGAGCAGGTGGTGTTGATGGTGATGGATGAGGAAAAGGAGGCCGAGGAGTGGTTCTTCCCCAGTTCCGCCTGGGCATTCTTCTCTGCCTTGAGCTTTAGGAGCGATGAAGATTTGGGGGAGCCTGATTTGGGGGAGTTTTTCCTAGCAAGGGACAGTGGGGAGCCCCCGGGGGAGTCACTGTCCCGGGAGGAGCGCCTGGCTGACAGGGCATCCTCTGCACATGGCCGGAAGCCCTCGTTCTCGTAGATGGTCTCCTCTTCCAGGGCCACGTCCTCCGAAGACCCACCCACCTTGAAGTGGGCCCGCTGCAGCGAAGAGGCAGGCGAGGGCCTGCGGGGCTGGGAGGGCCGCCTGTCCCCAGAGCCGCTGTCCTCTGCCGGCTCCTCACTCAGCTCTGGCTCCGAGTCGAAGCCAAAGGCCGGGATGTCATACTCGGGCTCCTCATATTTGAGTTTCAGTGGGGAGTCCTGGCCCTCACTCGCACCCGCTGGAACCTCCTCAGCTTCCTTGGGTTTGCTGGGGGGAGCCGGTGGGGGTACCTTGGGCCGGGTCAGTGTGCTCGTTCGGCGGCTCAGGTTGGGCTTCTTGCGCTTGTCGATGTAGGATGCAGGGGCCCAGCCCTCCTTCTCACCGATCTGCACGTACCACCAGCCTCCTGAGTTCTTATCGATAACCTAGGGAAAGGGGAGGACGGGCCGGTGAGTTGGGGTGATCTCTGGGCTCTATGTGCAGCTAGACTTTCTTCTTTGGCTCTAGGGGACAATCTCTCCATTTCACAGATGAGCAAACCGAGCCACTGAGTATACAGCCAGGCCCCAATGTAGGAAGTGCTAGTCAGTTCAAACCCAGGACTCTATCATCTCCTAGTTGGTGGTAGGGGGGTGGGAGGACACGTTCCTATTGTCCCAGACCCTCTCCCCTGATCCTCCAAGTCTGTCAACACCCTGGTTGAACTGGCCTCCTCTACAGACCCTGCTTCTGCTCCTTAGCCACTGCACTTAGACACATTGTTCCTAGTCCCTAAGGATACCAACCTACATGTATTTAAAAACTGCTATTCCACCACTCCTACCTCCTTCCACCTCTATTATTGCTAGGCCTTCCCTTGGAGACTCTTGAAAGGGTCTCTTAGGTCAGAAGAGAACGGAGAGATGTAGGTGAGTTGCACGGGCAGGTACAAGGAGGTCTGAGGCCAGAGCTCTTTGAGAGCACCTCTCTGGTATCCCCCTACTGCCCCGTGGTTACTTCACTGCATATGGCATCCCATCGAAACCCCACTAGCTGAAGAGATTTCTTTGGGTTGAGTGACTTCCTGTGGGAAGGATGAGGGACTTACAGTCATTTCCATGTTAGTATAAACTAGTTCAAGGAACTTCTTATTCTCAACTGTTATTTGAGATTGGCTAAAGGTTGTGCTGGGGTTAATTTGAACTGCGGAATGAAAGGAGAGAGAGTTTTGGATTGTAGGACACCAGTGGAGGAAGTGATAGGGTACAGGAAGCATAAAAACACTGGTTCCAGGGAAGGAGAGGCACAGAAAGAAGAATGGATAGAGAAGGGCAAAGGCAAGCTCTGAGATCAGCCATTTGCAGCCCCCAGCAAAAAAGAAAGAGTTTGTTCTCCTTCCTTTAGTCCTATATCCCATCCTTTGCCCTGCCCATTCCTGTACCTATAGCTCAAATTGAGGCAGAACCAAAGTATGTTATATTATGAGCTTTGTAGGCACTTCTGGAAACCCAAGCGCTGCTGAGAGAGTGACCGCTCATGGAAATTTGGTTGCAGGTTCCAGATCTGTGAATGAAAACATTTGTACTAGGGATATCACCTTGTCAATAAGCCCAGAACACGCAACTGATCTTATGACAGTTTTATATGTATTAACGGGATTTAACTCCATTACTACACAAAACTACTCAAGAGAAATGACCAGTAACAGATCTTCTCTGTGCCTGAAATGCCATGTTCAGTTCTGGCTACAAAGTAGAATTTCACAAATGCTAAGACACGGCCATTTATGCTAGGATCTCTTAACTCCTTTTTTTTGCAGAAATCATTAGAGCCTGTCAGAAGTGACTGTATCAAATACCAGAGGTGATGTGGTGAGAGAGGCCAGGACCTGGTCCCAAGGACCTTCCAGAACCTTCTGGGACCTGCTATATCCTCCCAACAGCAGCGCTTCCTCTAGCAGATTCTGCCAAATCCTGGTGTTCAGGAGCCCCTAAGAGAGAAAGCCTGGCCTGTTCTAGGCCCCTCTCAGATATGCAGTGACACCCCTATATCATAGTCTCTGAAAAGTTCTACAATTAAAACAGAAATGGTTGGATTTTGTTTAACTCACTGTCTTGCAAACTCATTTGACCAAGGAAGCTCTTAGTTTCAGACCCACCTCAAGTCTCTGCACTACTCTTGGGGACTGTGACCATGAGGGCAGCACTGAGTAAAGACGTGATCCTGGTTCTAGTCCTGAGTGTGGCAATGCTGCACTTTCTCATCTGTGTGTCTTGTTTTGCACCTTTACCTGCCTCTCAGGAATGTTGCCAGCAAGACATAAATGGGAAATGTGGTTGTTCTTAAAACCCTCGCCCCTCTGCTGTAAGGCTCACCTCTGCTTTCTGTCCACCCCGAAAGCTGATCCCGTCCGAAATGCATGACTGGAATTCGGCAATGGTGTAGTACTCCACCTCAACAGAAGGGGGCTCTGGAGGCTTCGGCAGCTGGAACCCCTAAGGCAGAGAACAGCTCTGTGAGCAAAATCCACCTGTGATCAGTAAGGGAGTAAGGCACTGGTGCAGATGGAATGCAGCTGACCTGGGAAGCACCTATCACCTGAGTCTCAGGGCTGGCTCTCCTGACCAAGCTTTCTAGCAATACCTCGATTCATCTGAGACCAAAGTTGTCAAAATGATCATTTGATAACACAATGTCCACCCTTACATCTCTGGAGGTTTGGTTTCCAGCCGTCTCAATAAGTCCCAAAATAAAACTTAAAAGGCAGGGAGATCACTGCCACAAAACCTGTGCCCACTGCCATTTGGAGATTTACGCCCAAAGATGTGATATGTGGCTGCAGAGGCAGAGCCAGGAAGCACAGCCACCTTGTCGGGTGGGGTGGGAGTGTCAGGAGGCACAGGGTTGGGTGAGAAAAGCCTTTGGTGGGTCATTATGATGATGGTAAACGGATAAAACTCAGGACCCTCTGCTCTGGGGGCTATGCTGGGTAGCCTAAGTGTTGTTTATTTTTTTTAAAGATATATTTATTTATTTATACAAGCACTGGGTACAGTCAGAAGCGCGGGAGGGTGAGAGAATTCACCAGAGTCAGAGCGGGGAGCAGAGCAGGCAGAAGGACCGAAGTACACTGCTGAGGGGAGCAGCAGGCGGCAGGAGAGGTCTGCGCGCCATGTGGGACCCTCCTCTGGTGGCCGGGGAGCAGCCAGGGATCGAACCAACGCTGCAGAGGCTGTGGGCAGCTTCGCAGCCCAGCGCACAACCGCTGCGCCACCAGGGAGGCCCCTAAGTGTTGTTTAGACACCAGCACATCAGTGACCAAGCATGGCATTCAAGGCCATTTAGAATGTGGCTGCAGCCCCTGCTTGTGAGCCTCATTTATTTATTTTACAAACATTGTTTGTGTGTCTATTGGGTAGCAACACTGGTAGAGGCACTGGGCATCCAATAGTGAACCAGAAGGACAACCATTGCTCTCATGGGGCAGATAGTCAAGCTCCACTGAGGTCTCTACCCAGGCCAACTTGGAATTCCTGCCTCCCCATTGTTTCTAGTATGTGCACTGGTATTACACAAAGGAGTTAAAACATTAAAAAAATGTGTGTGTGTGAGTGTGGGGGGGAGAGTTAGGAAGATCTCAGAAGATATCTGCCTTTCAGCTGGGCATATGTGGGCTCCAATCCCAGCTCAGCAGTTCTCCAGATGCATGGCCTTGTGTAGTGACCTTGACCTGAGCCTCAGTTTCCTCATCTGTAAAATGGAACTAGGAACAGGGCTATGAAGGGCTAACTGAGACAGTGCATGTAACTTCTGGCCCAGCCAGGCTCTTCTATAGAAGCTGAACCAAACACTCCTCCCGAAACACTTACTTCTCTGAACTTTCCTTGTCCTTCAAGGCCCAGCATGTCCTAATCCTACCTGTCACAGCAGAGCGGCCTGTATCAAAGTGAGCAAAGGGCAGGAAGAAGCTGTTTTCAGGGCCCACACACGACTCAGCCACCTTTCCCTGCCCCTGGGCCTGCAGTCATGCACCTGAGCAGATGTGGCCCAGGCCCCGGGCCGGAACCCTGGCCAGGTAGGATTCAGCCAGGCCTGACCGAAAGCAGCAACCGGTCTGTCATCCCAGCATTGGGTAAGTGTGGAAGGAATTAGTCCATTCTTGCCAACATTAAGTCAGCCTCAAAATAATCAGCTGGGGCTAAAAGAGATGAGGGCAAAGGAGAATCTGTTGTTTGGTCATGTAAAGTATGAGGGGAGAAAGAGACAAACTCCTCTGGGACTGACAGCCAGGGCAAGGACGGGCTCATCTCCCGGGCCCAAACCTTCAAAATCCTGTTTGCGGAAGGCATACGCTTCGAGGGACTGCTGCTAGCCCCTCTCCAGGGCAGATGGCACCAACCACAGCAGCCCTTGGTGCTAAGCCCAGATGTGACAGCAGGAATCTCTCCCCCGGCCCCCCACACAAGCAGGTAGTCCTTCCAAACAGTCACAGTTGACAGAGGAAATTGAAGCCCACTTCCCAGCCCTCTACACGTAGTTCATTTGATGCTTCCAATAGCCCTAGGAGACAGCGGGGTCTGTCCCCATCTCACAGATAAGGAACCCGAGGCCTGAGGGGCAGGGGAAGGGTATGTTTTAAGCAACTTGCCAGGGTCTCACTGTTCTTAAGTGTCAGGGGTGGAATATTAACTCATGCCTGGCAGGCTTGAAGCCCCATGCTTCCCACTGCCCTGTTCTAGCGCTCTCAGCCTGCCATCCCCTTCACAGCTGCCCCAGCCCTATTACCCTGATGGCACAGTTGCCCTCCCAATAGTCTGGATACCAAGAAACCCACCCACAGAAGCCAGGGAGTCTGGGCAGCACTGAGTCTCTTTAATCTGCAGCATAAGCCAGTTCTTGCCCCTCGCCCCCCTTCCTGGAGGCTGCAGTCTGCCCTCTGCCTCCCAGGCTGTGGTAGTGCCCTCACCCATCTCAGTCCCAAGCAAGTAAGGCAAAGCTGAAAGGCTTCCAGGGTCCCTGGACAGCGGCCCTATTTCCAGGCCCTGGCAATGCCCCGGCCGGACACTCTTGCCGGTCAGTCTAAATGTTTATGTCTGCCATCGCAGTGGCCAGGATGAATTTATTTTGCTTTGGACTGCAATGAGTTTTCGATGACACTATCCAGCCAGGCCTCCAGAAAGGCTGGGACTTGAGGATTCCCTTCATTCTCTGCTTGACAAAGCTGGAGGCTTCTTCAGGGCCCTGGGAAACTTCTGGAAGAACAGACTTCAACTAACTGGGACTGCTACGGTGCACCCCCCGAAAAGGAACAAAAATGCAACACACATACCAGGCTGGATTCTCTGCGAGGTGGAGGTCTCGTCCTTAGGTTTGGGGAGCCTAGAAGAAATAAAGCTTCAGAACTCCTGGCCGGAAAACCCCGCGCTTCCTTCCCTCCCCTGAGGTGACTGCCTCCTGATCCTGGCAGTCCATGCCTTCACCCCACATTGAGGAAGGATCCCAGCTCCCAGTCACTATAGGCACTAGCTGGAAAACCACAGGCCTTTACGTTTCCTCGGCTGTACTGATAGGGGCCATGAGCCCTCTAAAATGATGTGCACATTTCATATTGTGTGGGCACAGAGGCATTTTTCAGACAAAAGGGTAGACGGCTTGATCAGATTTTCAGAGGAGCAGAAATGTACTTTTTGCTTACTACTAAATTTCTAGGAGGTAGCACAATGCCAGGCAAGAGAAGGCGACCGCCAAATATTTCCCAACTGATTGCCCAAAAGGTTTCAGGCACAAGAGCTAACTTAACCACTAACAGTTTTCCTCCAGAGTTGAAGGCTAGCTGGGCACAAACAGAAGCTTTCCTCTCAGAGAACACTTTACCCCTCCACTGAAGGCACTGGTGACCCAGAGATGCAGAGAGATTTGGAGGGTGACCAAGCTCTGGGTTTCTCCTGTAAAATAACGGAGATTCCTGAAGAATGTACCTTAAAATTGCTTGTGGAGAGAGGAAAAGTCACCCCTTCCAATCCTTTTAGCTTCCACTAACTGGTGGAAAGCGACAGGGGTGAGGGGGCAGGCCCAGAAGGGTGTACCACTCCCCTGTTGCTCCAAACAGCAGCCTTGCAGACTGGGCCCACATTTCACAGCCTGGGGATTGCACTTATCTGCACCAGCCATTCTTGGCTCTCCAGGGAAGGAGGGATGCTGCCAGCACATACATTCTAGTAATTTATCTCCAGTAGAGGGTTTGGAGGAATTGCTTTGTCCTTTCTTGGAATAAGCATGAGACAACGGTTGACAGAATGAGGCTGGGGTCGGGGGTCAGTCTATCTCAGGAAGAAGAGGACATGGGGTCCTACACACCCCTATGGCTTTCCTTGCACCTCATGCCAACTTGAAAAAGAGCTTTGCAACCAGGACCTGGGGTAAGTGAGGCTCTTACTGATCTGGGCCCTCTGTGGGGCAATCCTGGCCACAGCTGGGGAGCCCTGGGCCAACTTGGAGACGGTCCTCTCGGGGACCCCCAGGGCACTGCCATTGGAGGCGTTGCAGAGGATGGGCAGGCTAATTTCCTTCTTGGCAATAGGGGCCTCGGGGCCCTCGCCTTCAGCCGGTGGAGTCTCCTTGTCCCCTGAAACCTTCTTGTTCAGCAGGTTGCTGATCTCCATGATGTTCCCGATGATCTCCACTGGGCCTGCCAGATTCTTCTTCCGGGCTGGCAGGTCATCCTTGGCTTTCTTCAGGTAGGATGCTGGTGCCCAGCCCTCTTTGCCCAGGTATCTGTGGGGAGGAACAGACAGGGGGTCAGCAGAGTGCTCATGCCCGACTTCGCTCCCTACTTCCAGGCCCCAGGCTCCATCTGGCCTCACCCAGCTGAGACTCCACCGTCTTCTGGAAGGGGTTTGTGTATCTCACTCTACTCTGGAGACAACTGGAACTGAGGACAAGTGGAAGAGACACCTAGATTCCCTTTTCTCCCCCTGCCTCTTTCTTCTTTGCCTGATCCCTCTTGGGGTGGGTTCTCATTCTCTGCAGTCAGGCAAATGTGGGACCTTGAGATTCGAAAATTCCTTAAATTGTGGGTTGCCCACAGGGTAGACTGTCTGTATAGCAATCTGTATAGAGTGATCTAGAGGTAAGACGCGAGAAAGGGCGGGTTAAAAGGGGGGCTGTTATTAGAGACGGAGGAGGAAGCACAGGTGAGTGAAACCGAGTTCCGGACTATGGTACCTGACCCTGAAACTCATTTTTTTCCCTTCGACAAAATGCAGGGATAGAGTAGCTGTGAATTTATCCAGAAGGACAGATGCACTGAGAGCACTGGAAGGAAAGGTCTGCACAGAGAGTGGCTGAGTGCAGGAGGGTCAATGCTGCAGGGTGGCCGGTGGAATAGGCTCCCCGGGGAAGTCCACAGAAGTGGGGTGTGGCTGGATTATTTAATGAGTGATCTGGGACCACTGATGATCCATTTAGGATCAAGCAAGATCCTGGTCTAACACTGTATAGCTAAATAAAAAATTCAAGTTAAAAAGATTTGCCTAGTCTTGGGGATTGAGAAAATCCTAAATGGGATATTCCAAGAGTTAAAACCATAAATGAAAAGACTAAATGCACCACTGGATAAAATGAAAACCTTTGGCATGGCAAAACGAAACAACACAAAAATTCCTAAACAAAAGCAAAAGGCAAATGACAAGGGTGACTTAATTTTAGGTGACTCGATGACTTCCATAAACAAGCTTTTCCCTTTCTTTCCTGTGGTGGTGTGCTTCTACCAAGCCCACTGGGAACTGCCTTCCTGGCCGGCAGTAGCTGGCCAATGCCCCCGAGTCTGGGGTGCTGTGTTCCCATCTACCCCCTGGGACACATCTGGCTCCCTGGAGCAGCTGCTCCATGCCAGGTGACTGACAATCCCTCATCCTGTCTCTCCAATGACCTTGTTCTTGGGTACTCTCTAGGAGGGAGGAAAAGCAATTGCAGAAGCTGAAGTTTATCAGTGTATTTGAGCTTTGCTGGAAGTTCAGGTAGGGGGTGGCTTCTAACGTTCACCCCGCAGGCAGGTGGTTCCAAGCTCACCTGCATGGCCCTTATTTGGGGCTTGGAAGGGAGATATCAATGAGCAAATGGGATGGAAGGCAGGGGGCTTGTCTGCTTTCCCAATGTAACAGGTACATGTGAAGCACAGGATTTCAGGGGTCAATAAAAGCAACTAGTTAAGATACAGGACAAATTAGCCAACACCTAAAGCTCAGAGAAGCAAAGCAAGTAGAAGAGGCTCACACAGCAGCTGTTGGCAGCGTCTGGCCTAAATGCAGTGTTCTTGCATCTCAGTGAGAAGGTCAAGATGAACCTGCCGGCCACTGCCGACATTTTCCTATTAGAACACTGTAGAGAGATGAGGAGTGGGGTCTCTTGGAGGGACGGCAGGTCTGCTCAATGCCCAGAGTGCTCCCATCTCAACACCTGTTGTGTTCCTTCGTGTTACATGGATAAAATTAGATTCCAGCGAGGGAATCAGGAGTGGCTCGTGTGTCTGAGTCTAACTCTGCTCACATCTGCTTTCCAGCTCTGGAGAATGGAATGACTCCAGAGGGAAGCAAACTGGAAAAGGAGGGATGGAGAGAGGGGGTGGGCTTGTGTGCGTGGGGGGGGGGGGTGGGGGAGGGGACGGAGAAGAAAGACAGGAAATGAGGATCAACACTGAGCTTGGAATGCTGGGAAATGACATATTTAAGGGGCGTCTGGCAGCGTTCTGAAGGCGGAGCCTTACTGCAGGGATTTTGCAGTTGAAGCTGCCACTGGCTAAAGGGGTAGGCGCGGGGGACAAGCACTGACGAACAGAGCAAGCTCAGGGTGACTTGGTTGGTGGTTTTAGAAATCTGTAAATACCCAGCAGACTCACAGATAAGCTCCAGGCAGGCGATTTAGGACACCAGCCTGCCAGGATGTTCACTGCAGATGTGTGGTTGCTGAACTGTGGGGCTGGCTATAGTTTTCATTGCTAGGAGAACAGGAAAGTGTCAGGGCAGTGGCTTTGGGCAACACATGTCCAGGCGCTCAGTTCTGTCCTACCTCAGCCTTCCTGACCACGTGCACGGGACAAGGACAGCGATGTCCTGTCAGTCCATAGGAAGGTTTAATGCCATGTGGTCAGGGACCCTCACCCTACCCATCAGCACAGAACAATGTCAATGTCACAGCCAGCGGTGGCCTGACAAATGTTTCACGAGTGCTTGCAATACCTGGCCAATCCTGTTCCTGCCATGGGGGCCAGTTCAGAACATTGGGTTGGGGGTTCCAGGTAGAGAGTGTTGAAGAGATGGTCCCCAGAGTCCACAGATATGGTACATTTTGTTGGATGGGCCACAAGCAGAGAAGAGAGAAGCTGGGAAAAATCATCACAGCAGAGCCAGTTCCAAGAGAGCTGGAAACATTTGCTGTGAGCAAGACCCCCTGGAGGGCCCAGGCCAAGACCCCCTGGAGGGCCCAGGCCACCTCGCTGCCCCTGGGCAGAGGGGACCAGAGAGCAGGACTTGGAAGGGCAGAGATGAACGAAGCCCACAGGGTTTCATTTGCTTCCAAGAACATCAGGAAAGCGCCCTGCTCCCCTACTCACCCTCCCAAATGGGGTTCTCAGTGGCAGGTGTGGTTAGGCCTTGGGGTGGGAAAGGTAGGGAGAGGCTCTGACTACCCTGGGCTCAGTCTTACTTCTGCCCCAGCTCTTGCAACCAGCCACATGAGCCAGGCCTGCAGCGTGGAAGCTGAGCTCAGAGCCTGCAGCAAGGCCTGTGGACGCCAGTGCTCCAGTGCTCCTAGCAGCCCAGGCTATAGAGCACACCAGGCAGCCAGGGCTGGACACAGAAAACCAAATTCAGATGTTCTGGGCCCTGTCGCAGGATACACAGAAGAGACTGCACTGCTGCCTGCAAGCTGAGCCGGGGCTCTGGTGCCCGCTGGCTGCAGTGTGGGTTCTGCTTTACGTGTCTCCAGAGAATCTGCAAGACGAGTGCTGTGTTCGAGTTGTTCAGCTGTGCAGACTTGGAGCAGCCAAGCCCAGGCTGCGGGTCCTACCAACTGGTGCCCTCGGCCACTCTGCTCTGCTGCCCAGGGTCTGTGCCTCGGCCCCAGGGTGGCAGAAGCATCCTGTTCCACTGCTGGGGCTCCTACCTGATGTACCACCAGCCCTCCAAATTCTTCCGGATCACCTCCACAGTGACTCCCTTCTCAAAGCCAATCTCGTCCTTGCTTTGGCTGGTGTAAGGCTGCACAGTGACATACTTCTCCTCTGTGGGTGGTGGGAGAAGCAAGAGAACAGTTATTCAAGGTTGGGGTGCAGGTCCTCCTTTGTCTCTTCCTTTTGCTCCCCTGGACTGGCCTTGCCTACCTGGTTGCCAAGGTGCACTGCATCAGCTTCTGGCTTTTCCAGGGAAGGGAGAGAAAAAGAGCAGGCCTCACTGTTGCTCCTAGTGGGAGCCAAGCCAGCCAGCTAAGACTCCAGTGGCTCAACCAAACCCTCAGCATTGAACTTGGCTCTCAGCTTCCCAGCCCAAGAACGGCAGCCAGATTGCTGGGGCCCGGAGTCCTCAGCACCTCAGGAGCTCCCCAGCCCCTGAAGGCAGGGCCAGGAGGGACTGTCCCTCATGGGGGCTGTGTCAGGAAGTATGAGAACCACCTGGGTGTCCCTCGAATGCCTGGAGGCCCCGAGCACCCCCTCTCCTCGGCTGAATGCACACACGCGCTTCTCTGTCCCAGACTTGCTCTCCTGGCCCTCCTGCACCTCAGCACCTTAAATCCTTCCTGCCTGACCTTCTGGCAGCTCCCAGGGCAGCTCCTCAGTGAAGCCTCCCTGAGCACTAGGCTGACTACCTCATCCCGTAATTTTTCCAAGAGGAACAGGGGAACGGATGTTCCATGGACCTTGATAAGAGGGGGTCCCACAGCCAAGTGGACAGTGGCCACTGGACCAAGCACAGCACAAGCAGGTGGGTCCTCAGGGTCTGGAGTGGGCCCTTGTGTCCTCTGGAGGGCAGCGTGCTGAGCTGGCCATGCAGTGTGGTAGGACCCCGTGGGGGAATTGCCTGCTCTGCTCGTGTGACCACGAGCCTTGTGTGAGGGCTGCTGCTGGCACTGGGAGAGAGCCCCCAAGTGTCATCAGGAGAGCTGGGGAGGGAGGCATGCAGGGGCTCAGCACTGTGTCTTCCTGGGTTCACTTCAGCTTCTCTCCACACAGCGCACCTGCTGCCTCCACACGGTCCTTGCTCAGGCTGCCCCAGAGGTGTTTCTTCTGTGTCTGCTGGGGTCCATCTCCACCTAGACTTGCTAGACCCTCAGCAGGCCATAGGCACCCTGCTTTCTGGGAACCTGCCCAGAGGGCCACTCGGACATCAGGAGGAGAAACACTTCCCCACTCTCACCCTCTGAGGGAATGCAGAGCAGAAAGAGGTGGGGGGACTGGCGATCTCAACCTCTGCTGTTCCCTCTGCTGGAGTGGTCCCCAGGGACTGAGATGGCACCTAGCTCACAGCAGGAGCTCCAAAGAGGGGATGGAATGCATCAATGAAGAGAGGGGGCCGAGCTGGGCACCAAGCAGGCAGCTTTCTGTGGGCTCAAAGTGGCGGGCTGTTGGTGGTCTCCAAGATGCCTGCTCACATACTCCTGCCCCCAACTCTGCCAATCACCCCCTGGATGCCTCAGCTGGACCCTGGGGGCAGCTGCCACCCTCCTCCCTGCAGCAGCAGAGCCACGTGCTCCTTCTTCCCTGATGATCCTGTCTGGGGGGCTGTGCTGAGTGGAGATAGCTGCTCCTGCTGGGATGGAGGTGACCGCCCTGTCGGGCTGAGAAGAGGCACCGGTGAACCTGAGAGGCTGCGGGAGATGGTGAGACCCTGGGCCTCCCTCCGCATGTTCTCCTTCACTGCACAGGTCCTCCTCAGCATCGACGTGCGCCTCCAAGTTTTCTGACTCTAATTCAGCCATGCTCGTGAGAGCTGCCAAGATTGCCCGAGAACCCTGTCCAACCAGATTCTGACTTGGGCCTTTGAGAAGTTCCGTGATCTTCAGTCCAACCTCCACTCTCCTGCTGCCCCTGGTCCCACTCCACTTTCCAGTGGGGCATGATAAATCTTGGCCAGGGTGGAGGCCGGAGGGGGATCTGGAGCTCCAGCTCTGAGGTTAGGGTGAGGCGAGGCCTGGACTCCACATTTTGTCTTTGTTCAGCTGGACTATTTTTAAAAGCCTGTGGTTCGAGCAGGAAGCCATCATTAAAAGTTTTCCTAGGCAAAGCTGCTTTTGAGGCGAAAACCTACAGTTCTTCTCTTGGGAGATCAGAGGAGCCCTGCACTGCTGCATGGCAGACACTGCTGCTCGCACCTCTCACGTGGGCTCAGCTCTGGGGTTGCCAGGTCTGAGCTCCGGCCTCCACAGCCCGGGCCATGAAAGCACCTGCTCTCCCCTGTACTCCCGGGTGGGTAGAACAAAGGATTTCAGCTTCGCCCAGTAAGCTGAGCTCTTCCCGTAAAAGGTTCTGTTCTTGCTCCTGGGCTAACGTGAACACAGATGTCTGGAAGTTTGTCGGCTCCCCAGAAGAGGTCTGGCTGGCTCAGAGGCCTGCCCTGCCTGTCACTGTGCAGGTTCCACGGGATGAGAATTCAGAACCCTGGGCCCAGGTGGGTCAAGGCAGCCAGACCAACTCTTCCAACTTGTCTGTTTGGTGGCTCGGTTTTCTGCCAGGCTGACTCAGAGGTGTGGGTTACCTCCACACCAACACATGCCATGCAGTCTCAGGCCCCAGGGTGAGGCTTTCCCCGAGGGAGATGCAGAGCCAGACCCTCTGCTAGACCCGGCCCACAAGCCCTCCAGGGACCCACGAAGGGAATGCCCAGAGATGGCCTCAGTGTGTGACCAAGTCATTCGGGTTGGTTGGGGTCTCTAGACAATGGAATGGAGGAAGGAGAAGCCTGTGAGTTCTGGGGGGCATCCCAGGGCTTCAGGGAGGCCTAGGCTGAAGCCACCAAAGGGAGGGCTGGCCAGGCCGCCTGCTGGGTGGGTGGGTGGCGGGGGGAGGTGGACAGGCCTGTTCTGGTTTTGGAGGCAGGGGCTGGAGAGCCCTGCAGTTTCCAAACCACAGACGCCTCCTCTTTCCAAACAGTTTCCCCTCCGTCAGCAGTCTCCTGGGCTCCCCTCCCGGCCCCCACGACTTACCCAACCTCACTGCAAGGGCCTTTTGATTCCAAGGCCTGGTTGGCTGAGGGAATGGAGGCCCTGGGGAAGCACTGCTTTTCTCTTGTCTCGTTACATATGACCCACTGCCTGCTTCCCCCGATCAGCTCGGCTGCTTGCAGAGAAGCTTCTCCCTGCCAACTTTCTGCAAGTTTTTCTTGGCTGCCTGATTTAACAGTCCATAAGGCTAAGACTGGGAAATTATGTTGTTTAGCGCTCTTATTTAAGAGACAGAGGGAGAGAAGCGTGGGCTTTTATTTGCTTCTGTATATGTAGGAGTGACCACAGGCTGACGCACTGAGTGGGGTATCTGTGTCCACATGCATCGCTGCCTGTGATTGTGACTGCACTGCTCGTGTGCATGTGGCATAAGGGGCTGCGTACATGGCACTGCGTACATGGCCACATGTGCACCTGCAGCACTGCAGTGGGGTATGCATGTGATGTGGCGTACATGAGTACACGGGGTGTGACAGTGCATCTGTGACTATAAACAGCGTCTCCCAGGAACCCTCCGCATGTGGCTGCATGAGTGGGATTACATGTGTGCCCCTGGGGTGGTAAGAGCACAGGACTGAGGGTGCACACACACACCCATACCTGGTGGGGGTGGGACACGATGGGCAGCAGCGCTGCACCCGCAACGTGTGTCTGTGTGTCCCTGTGGCTGTGGAGACAGTTTTGTTTAGGGCCGGTGCATCATGGTGTTTGGAGCAGATGCTGGAGGGGATGGGGAAGGCCAGACCTTTCTCTCTGCTGGTTTTCCAGGCCAGCATCCCATTCTCTTGCCACCAAGGCTCTGTACTACGTCCCAGCCCGACCCCCCCAGTAATGCAGCCCGCCCCTCTAGCTTCAGGGAGTCTCTGCTTTACATTCAGTCTGTTCTTGCTGTTCCCATGCCTGGGCCTCTGCCCTGCATCAGCCTCTAGGGTCCACCCGCCCTCCACACGCAGGACAGGCGAGGCTCCTCAGAGCCAGTGCTCTGAGCTGAGGCCGAGCCAGTCCCGGGTGGTGGCCACCCTGGAGTTCAGGCTTCCTCTGCCTGGGGCTCGAGGCCGATACCCAAACATGGTCTCACGGTTGTTCAGGGACAAACTTTGGGGGTGGGGCCCAAGTCAGGGAGCATCCCCGCTATTCTGGAGAGGCCACCCTTCCAGCTGTGCTGGCCCTGCTGGAGCACACACGCTGAGCTCTCCAGGAGTTAGGAGAATTGGGCCACCCACTGGCCTGGGGGCCCTGGAGACATTTAGGGGTTTGTTCAGAGACCTGCCCCTATCCTCCCGCACCTCCCAAGCTTTGGGGTGTTGGAAGGCCCCTAAGTTAGAAAGTTCTCAACCAGCAGCTGTGTTAGTGCCCCACCTGCCTATGTGGTGGGAGGGCCTCCCTGGAATCCTTTTGCTCAGCCCCCCTGAAGTGCCAAGGCTAGTGCTGGGGAACCTGGAACCCCTGGCTGCCCTGCCAGGGAGCCTGCAAGGGGTCTGGCTCTTGCTCCCCTTCTAGTTTCCCGGCAGCTGGCTGGAAGAGGAGGGCTGTGGGCTGGTCCTTCTTTCTACTCTGTTCCTAAGTAATTGCTAAAACAGCTCTGGCCAGGGGAGCACTTTCGCAGAGGGAGGAGGCGATGAAGAGAGAGACCAGTGGGACAACCATAGGCTCAGCGCTCTTAGCCTGAGCCTGCAGCATCCAGGGCAAATGCGGCCTTTCTTAGGGTCCAGCTGCCCCACAACCAAGTCCTAAGTCTCATGACCCCCACTGTCACCCCCATTCCCAGTGCCCAATTCCACCCACCCAGCCCCCGCCCCCCGCTGCAGGAGGCAAGAGAAAGGTACATTTGGTGAAGGGGCTGCAGGACAGGGGAGGTCAGAGCCCAGGGAGAGGTGTTAGTGAGAGAGGCGGGAGCTGCGGGTGAGGAGAAGCTGGCGCCCACGGTCACCTCGGCTGTGCTGCCTGTTGACCATCCCGCCCAGGGTCCACCGGCGATCCAGGCGCCGCAGATGGGCCTTGCGTCTCTTGGACACTGGGTGTGAGATGGCGATGGGAACGCGGCCGACAGGAACCGGCGGAGAGAATGGAGATGAGGGTGAGATGAGATGGGGGGAGGGTGGGTGGGGGTGACACTCCTGGGTCATCCTGTCTGGGACAGAGCCTCAGGGGCACGTGTCTGCTGGATGGGGCAGATGGGACATTATGGGCATATGGGAGAAGTTCGAGCGAAGTCAACCCCCGTGGGCCTGAGAGGTGGCAAGGATTCAGGGCCCCAGCCTGGCAGGAGGACAGTCGGTCACTGCAGCCCCAGAAGGGGTCGGCCGGGCGGCGCTGTGTCAGGAGGGGACACTGCACCACAGCGCCCTCCGTCTGCTGCCCCCGCTCGCTCACCTGTCCTGCCTCCGAATGTGCCTCCGCAGGCGGACAAGCCATGCACCAGGAGAGACTTGGGGTCCCTTTTTCTTGGGGCTTACAGCTCTTACTGCTCTGGGTGTGCCTCTCTCTCTGCGTTCTCAGTCATCCCTGTGGGACTCAGTCTAATGAGGGCACAGGCTTTGCGTCTCTGCCCACCCAGGGCACACAGACCGCTGTGTTGAAACAACCACACGTGTGTGCATGCATGCACGTGTGCGCACGCACAGACACAGGCACACACACACTCACAGATGGACACATTACAGCCCATTATCCTCGGGGTTTCTCACAGCAGAGGACCTGCCATCCCAGGTTTCTGTGGCCTCTCCCTTTTGTCTAGACCACTGTCCCTGTGTCCTGCATGGGGTCCCCTTGTTTGCTGTGACCCTGCTCCAGATGCCCCATCTTCCTCTGGGGCCAGGCCAAGCCCAGTGGACTGGGCACCAGGCAGCAGGGTGCCAGGCCGCCGGGGGCTGGAGAGGGACTCACTGAGCCAACCCCTACCCAAGCCTCCTGGGAAGTTCTTTTTGGTAGGTGAGAGGCCTGTTTGACCGGCCTCTTGTGAACAGGGAACTGGCCAAAAGGCCAGGAGGTGTGAGTTTAGTCCAGGTTCACAGCCAGGTTGCTCTGTCCCCCCGGCTGTCCCTCACTAAGCCTCTTCTGTCTCAGGTGGTTGACGCCACCTGCCTGCTGTGAAATGAGACAAGGGGACTGAGGCCCTGCATCATGCCAGGTCCTAGAAAGTCACACAGGAGAAGCTGACACCTGGCCTCTGGGTGCTTCGTGGGGACAGAGGAGCTTCTGTTAATGTCCAGGCAAGGCCCACCTTAGCAACAAGTAGCCCTGGCCCGTTTACACCACTGGAAGGGGCACTGCAGCCTCACTGAAGCAGTGTGTCAGCACTACCCTGTTTAAGAAACGGGAAGCCAGAAGCCTGGGGATGTTAACCCCGAATCACACACCTGAACGTCAGCAGCATGCAGGTCCGGGCAGTTGTGCTGCAGAGCTTGGATTCTTGGTTCTGTGATGTTGTCTTCCTGCCAATGCCCCCTACCACCACCCCCTGAGCCTGCCAATAATGTGGAAGGCCTGGATGGGGCAGGGAGGGTCGCCAGCCCCCTGGAGAGGCAGTTTGGGCCATGGGGTACAGAAGCACAGGCTGGGCCCAGGTTCTAGTCTTGGCTCTGCTACAAACTGACTGGGGGACTCTGGAGGTGATACCTTTCTAGACCTCCATTTCTTAACCTCTGAGTGGCGACTGACCTGATACTAAAGCCCCGTGTCAGTGTCGCACTTGGACCTTCATTGTTGTCCGTGGATGACGGGGTCTCAGCTCCACCCCAGTCTTCCTACGCTAACATCTCTGAATTCTACACAGCACCCTGACTTTAGGAGAAACACAAACATACACCACAGTGTCTATAACAGAAATAAACCAAAACAGCTAATCATCTCTTCTTTCCAGAGCAACGAAGCATGAACTGTTCAGGAGGCTGATGGGTTAAGGCTTCTTCCACAGGGCTCCAGACCTAGGACGGCGCGGCAATGGACTGGGGTAGAGGAGACCAGATTGGGGACCAGGCTGGGCTAGTCATTTGGCTGCAGGTGCAGAAGACTGGCAGCCACACCACTGCTGCTGGGGTCCCTGGCCTGGGATACTGAGTCCTGGTGGAATTCAAAGCTGCCTGAATGTTGCCAGGAGTACTGATGGGTGAGGGTCTAGCAAAAGCTTGCAGAGGAAAGTATTTGCACACACACACACACCTGCAGTGACTGCCCAGGGCTTCCTCTCTCAAGGTCCACGTCCTCTACAACCTCCTACTGCTCCTTGCCAAGTGCCCACTGTCTTCTGCCAGGCTGGCACCCATGTCCACACACCTCTCAGGTTCTTTCTGGCCCCGGACCCACTCTGTGTTGGGGTCCTTCAACGTCTACCCAACACCCCTCTGGTCTCATTCTCAGCACTGCCTTCCCAGGCGAGGCTTCAGTTCCACACACACCTCTCCTGGAGTAGCTGACAAGCCCAGTGCTTGATGGGGATGTGTGTGAAGACACAGTGGAGACCATGAGACAGAGGAGGCTGGCGGAGCTCAAGGCTTAAGAGGACAAGCACGCAACTGAACGGAAGGCTCAGCTCTTGCCTCTGGAAAGCAGGAATGGCAACGTGCCCTGCAGGGGGAGTGAGGAGGGCATTTCAGCACCAGGCCAGGGGCCTCTGGGAGTCAGTCGGAGACTCGGTCTGCTCTAGGTGCCGTGAGTGCTGAGCAGCCTGGCACGCGAAATGTACATTGAGGTAGGAGGTGAGGCCTGGTGACTGGAGACACCCTAGACAAGTGTGCGGGGCCAAGACCCTCCACTGCTGCAGACATGCAATAGCACCAGAGACAAGCTGGGGTGCAGGGCTGGGGAGCAGTCAGGCGAGGCTGAGCACCCGGCCTGAAGCCCCGAGCCCTTCCCAGGGAACATGGCCTAGTCTCTGGAAATTCGTCGCAGGTGGACATACACTGCAGGGGCCGCAGCTCTGGTCAAGGACTGAAATAAAAGCATTTACACAGGAGGAAGGGCGGGGCTCCAACCGCCTGCTGAGTGGCCGACATTTAGGGGAAGGATGAATAAGGAGCTGGCGCAGGGTGTGCTGCTTATTTTGGCCTGGGCACCATGGAATGGGGCTGGGCAGGCAGGCCTGGAGTGACCTGAGTCCTGGGTGGCAGGCCTCCATCCCCCTGGTGCTCGGACATGCCCATTTGGACAGTCCCCACTGACCGTTAGGCAAATGTGCCTGCTGCCAGGACATGGGAGGTTTGGAAGTCATTAGGAGCAGGCAGAGAAAACTGGGAGGTGGCTGAAGCTCACTGGGCTCAGGCAGGCTGCTTGGGGGAATCTGAGCCCACAGACAGGCTGTCCAGGCCTGGTGGTGGGTTGGGGAAGTGGGGAGAGAGGGACAGGCTCATTGAAATGCAACAAGACCCAGAAAAACTTCACCATATCAGAATTAATCAGAGATGGTGCCAGGGCCAGAGCTGTCCCCCAGCTCCTGTAACACTGAGAAAGGAATCACAGACCTGCCCTCTACGTTTGCGCCCTCAGCCAGTCTAACAGACACCCCAGCGGAGGCCTGAGCAGGAGGGTGCACGCACAGCTATGTGCATACCATCCTTGGGGTCATCCCGCCATGCAGTGGGGGGCAGGGGAGGCAAAGGCAGGTCGCCATGAGGTGCCCCAGAGAAACTGGGACTTTTTAGGGAGGGAGGGCGCTCTGGGAGTCTAGCCTTGAGACTGTTCCTCCTAGTCTCTGCCCACAAGTTGCCAAAGCCTGAGGTCTACACCCCAAGGGAATGTCCCCTCTAATTTTAGCCCCACATGGCAGCCAGCAGGAAAAGGTCTGGGGCAGGAAGTGAGCTTCTGGGCCAGCGGTGGCAACATGAAATCCCCAGGGAAGGGGCTGGAACACACCCCACTCACTTGCAGGATTCTGAGGGTTTCAGGGGGAGAAGAGTGGGAGGGCACCCTCAGAAAGAACTGGATTCACTCCTCGGGTCAGAGGCACCAGCTGCCTAATTGTCTCGCTGCTCCCCTGTCCCCTGAACCCATCCCCTTACCTTCCCCAGTCTTGGAGGTGTTGATGTCGGAGTCATCCCGAGTACCATTCTGGGCCTCCAGGTAGGTGGCAGGGACCCAGCCCTGCTCCTCAGAGGTGCTCACGAACCACCAGCCTGCAGAGGGGACAAGGGAGAACGCGGTGAGAGCCAGGGGAGGGCAGCCTGGGGAGGAGGTGCAGGGAGGCAGGGGTGACGCAGAGCCAGACAGCGGGGCCAGGGCAAATGCCTGTCCACGGGAGGTAACCAGCATATTCCCTGAGAATAGGGCCAGCCGGACCACCCTCCACACACACAAATATTTGATGAAAAATGTTAAAAAATGAAATGGGGGCCTCCCCAGTGATGCAACGGTTGAGCGCTGGGTTGCGAAGCTGCCCGCAGCCTCTGCAGCGCTGGTTCAATCCCCGGCTGCTCCCCGGCCACCGGAGGAGGGTCCCACATGGCGCGCAGACCTCTCCTGCCGCCCGCTGCTCCCCCCAGCAGCGTATTTCAGTCCTTCTGCCTGCTCTGCTCCCCGCTCTGGCTCTGGTGAATTCTCTCACCCTCCCGTGCTTCTGACTGTACCCAGTGCTTATATATATAAATAAATAAATCTCAAAAAAAAAAAAAAATGGAATCTGTTGAGGTCTTTAAAAAAAAAAACCTTTAAAAAAAAAAATGAAATGGAAATAATGGTATGTCCAACATGTGAAAACGGCCTTGCAGGAAAGACCAAGGGAACACAGACCACTGAGGGGCCTTCAAACCCACCAGGACCACTGGTGTAGGTTGGGGCCTGGCCACTTTCTCTGCTTTCAATGGTGTCCAGGCACAAATGCCTCCTGGGAACCTGCTCGGGGCCCACGGCTCTTCCCCATCATGGTCAGTGTTACCTTCACGCTGGTGTTCCTCACGGCTGCCCTGCAAGTGTGGTGACATTTCCATCACAGTAAGCGGACACTAGCCTTGAGTGACCCTTGACAGCCACCACCAAGTGACTGAGGCGCATTTATTTCCCTTCTTTGTGTGTTTGTTCATCCATTCATCATTCAAACAAGCGAGACTAAACAGAGTACCCTGGGCACCTGGGTCTTGGGACTCTGCCAACTCTACTTGCCCTCAGCCCCTCCCAGAGGCGCACTCCACGGACTCTGTCTCTGTGCCCCACTATTCCGGTGCTTTATTGTCCCTGGTGCAATTTGGCACTGACCCTCTTTTCTGTCCATGACAGCTCACCATCCCCAAATCCACACTGTTTCCAACAAGAGGCCCCAGCGCTTCTCCCTGGGCACACTGGTGGCCCCATCACTGCCCACAATGGCTGCCCTAGGGCAGCCGTGATGACAATGGAGAGGATCAGAGAATAGTCCCATCACTGCACAGGACCTCAGAACCAAGGTCATCTCCTCGCTCTTCAACTAGGTCCTCACTGCCCCGTGTGGCTGGCCTGGGAGAGCCGAGAGCCTGTGGTTAGTCTTAATGCCCACTGCACCCCACCCTTTCTAGGGAGCCCTTTAACTCCCTGCTGGCGGCTCTGCAGAGCACATGAAGCACCCCAGGCTATCCATATGGATATCTGCATCCAAGGCAGTGGGCTCACGGCTTAGTGCTCTTGAGAACACTCAGCTCCAGTGAACCTAAGTAAACAGTGGGTTCTGGGTGGTCAGTCGGCCCCTGTGGGGTCACCAGCAGCAGTGAATGCACCGCTGTGGTGATGGATGTGGATAATGGAGGAGGCTGCGTGTGTGGGGGCGCAGGGTGTATATGTGCCTGTATCTTTTCCTTTCCCTTAATTTTGCTGTGAACCTAAAACCACCATCTAAAAAACTGAAAGGGGCTGCGGGGGAAGGAGAGTGAGCAAGCGCATGGACCAGGGGTGGGGATTCTGGAGGCCCAGGCCTAGTTGGCTCGGAGGACTGGCCTGGTCACTGCCCCTCTGGGTTTTCAGGTCCCTCTGCAGGGGGGAGCTGGCCCAATCACCTCTGAGCTGTTGGCTCAGATGCCACATAAGTCCACTAAATGGCTGACCTCTTGTTTTCCCCCTGCCTCTCCACAGCCATCTTGTGAACCAGCCCCCTGCACAGATCTTTGTCCTTGGCTCCAAGGACCTCATAATCCCAGGACTCAGGTCTCCCCTCTTCCTTACTTCACCCCTTGGGACCCCTTTCACATGTGTTCTGCTCCCTCCCTTGCCCAGGAGTCAGAGATAGGGATGGATCTGAACTTGTTGGCTCAGAACTAACTCTCAGGGAAGGATGGGCCTGATCCTCCTCCTAACTCTGTTGCTCAGGCCTGGCACTCAGTGGGAGCTGGGGAGAGCTGGGGAGACTTGCTGAGGGGCCAAAAATGTGACAGAGGTGCTCAGAGTGCAGGGCAGCTTGATGCCCGAGCCTCACACTGCTGGGGTGTCCTGTGGCTGTTTGAGGGCTGAGTCCTTCCCACCGTGGAATCTCTGCTATACCAGTTACATCTAGGGAGCCCAGACCTTATCATCACCTGACCATGAGCATCTCTCTAACCAAGTGAACCCCCAAACTTGGGTTTGAGGCCTTCCTTTCTCCATGGTGTGGTCGCCCCTGCCAACCTTGCCTGAGGACACTGGCCTATTCTGGACACATTCCAGTACTGAAATGTGCAAAGTCAGGCATGTGGTTTCAAGTCTCAAGTCCCTCCTGCCCCTGCTTGCTGTGGGCCCCTCCACTGAGCAAAGATGGACAGGCACAAGCACCACCCAGGCGGGCATAGTGAATGTGGGCAGAGGTGCCCACCCAGCACATGTGGACCTCCCGGGAGCACTGGTATGCACCACACAGTCAGACCTCTGGGGAAGGCTCCCAGGGCTGCTGACAGGCCTCTCCCAGATGCCAGCAGCTCAGACATCAATTGCTGTAACCGAGTCTGCTGACCAAAGTCACGGCTGCCCCACCAAGAGCAATTAGGGCTGAGCCACCCTGGGTGTGGTCCAGCTGGCCCAGAGGGTGCAGGCATCAGTGAGTCCTGTGGGCCTTCCAGGGGCACCTCCAGTCCAGTGTCCCCTACTGTGGAGTTTGAGCATGAGTGGAGGTAGGTGTGGGCAAGGTTATGTATCTGAGCACATGGAAGGTAGGTCATGTCCATGGACATGTTTGTGTGGGTGGGTCCATGTGTACATGGAACCAAGGTGTGTCTGTGCATGCATGTATTATGCAGGGTTATTATGGCAGACTCTGAGGACACTTGGGGGTCAGGCACTAATTTTCATTATTTAACCTTCAGGAATTTTATGAAGTGTTACTATCATCATCATCATCATCACCCCCACTTTACTGATGAGGAAACTGATGCAGAGACAGATTTGGATTATGAGAGGTGGAGCTGGACTTCAAACCCAGCAGGCAGCCCAAGACCTACATTCCTAATGGCTGTGGGAGTAGGAGAGGCATATGTCTGTGTGCCAAGGGTGGAGGCGACCCCGAGAACCTGTCTTTCTGAGCCCTGACACTCTGTAAGCGTCCCTGGCACTTATGTGAGTGAGTCTGTGCTGTGAGCATGTGCTTGTGAGTACAGGACGAGGAGGGCTGTGTATGGAGAATCACATGCACAAGTGAGGGTCCTCTGGGGGAAGGAGTAATAATTAGGGCTCTGCAGCCAAAAGACTGAAGGTCAGGTCCCGGCTTGCTACTTCCTAGCTGTGCGCTCTTGGGCAAGTTACCAAACCTCTCTGAGTTTCAGTCTCCGTTTCCTGATGTGGGAATAAACTCCAGGTTGTCAAAGTGAACAAGTGAGATAAAAGTAGCTTAACTGGGGGCCTAGTAGAGACTAGAAGCTCAAAAACTGGAGTTGTTAGCAGCCAGGTGGTGGTGTTTGGCATCCTCAGCATGGCCCCCGTTTGGTGGCTCCCACAGTTCCCTAGGACAGAGGACTTGCAGTCACCTCTCTCTTGCCTGCCTCCTCTGGAAGCCAGTCCTTTCTGGACTTCCCCAAATCCTAGTGTCCAAAGCATCAACCCCGCAATTCACAACTGCTGTGCACTCTGAGAACGACCAGTACCATGTCTACTTAGTCTCCAGAGCAGAACTGGGCTTGTAGCAAGCAGCTCAGCAGATGAGGAAACTGAGGCAAGCCCTACGTGCTGGACCCAAAGATCTGAGGGAATCCCTTTGCTGCCACTTCTGTGTTTGTGGCCTCAGGAGAGCGACATAACCTTTCTGAGCCTCGACTTCTTCGCTTGGATCATGGTAAGAACACCACCTACCTGGCAGGTTACGTGAGGATTATAGAAGGAAGAGCACGGGGCTGGCACACAGCAGAGGCCCACTGAACAAGCTCTGAGCGTCACTGAACAGAGGATACAGTCACCCGCACATGGAGCTAGGGGCCAGCACTCATGGATGCCCCGGGACTCATGGAGCATTAAGGGCCAGCACTCATGGATGCCCAGGGACTGGCCTGAGCCACCTCTTGCCTTCCTCTTCCATCCTCCCAGCATCTGTTTCTGGGAAGTCCAGTGAGATTTGACTAAAGGACGTGGCATTGGACTGACAGTATGGCCACAGATGGGGACAGCTGTTCCCAGACTGGCTGCCAGACCAGCCTCTTCCTGAGCAGTTAACCCTGGAAGAGCAACAGGGAACTTGGTGGAGCAGGAGATGGGGACAGACCCGCAGCCTACTCCTGCACCCCAGTCCAGCAGTCAGGCTCTGGCGAAGTCAGGTTATGGCTCAGGGAAGTTCCCCCTATAGCGGCAGGAAGGGATGGAGCAGGTTCTCTATGATGGGGCAGACAGGTGAAGGAGGAGTCCTGGAGCCCTCAGTGACTTTTCAGGCTTTTATTCAGATTTACCAGGTACACAGCAGGCAGGGGTGCTTCACTCTCTCTGGGCTCTCCAGCGTTCTCTCGCGGCCTCGCTCTCTCTTGTTCTGGTCGCTCTCGTTGTTTTCGCTCTGCTGTTCTGCCCTCTTTCTCTGCTGGCGTCCCCATGACGCCGCCCTTATAAGCCCAGTCTGTCAGCCCAGGTGTATCCATTTACGCATGCCCACACCCCACTCCAGGTGCCTGCCGTCAGGCATACACTCAGGATCACAGGGATCCATCATCAACCCTAATGGCAGGAGGGCAGAAAAGCCTGATACTTTTTTACCTTACCCTACACCCCCGGAGCTCCTGGATGCTGAGATCTCCCCTTCAGATGTGGGGCAGGGGAGGGACTACCATCCCTTCCTTTGAACAGGAACTCCCTAAATGTTGTAGAGGAACCCTATGGAGTCCACTTGACATTCCAGAGAGGCCTTTATTATGGGGTGTCTAAGTCTCGGCTTGGGGCTTAGCTCCCAGATTGGGGACGTCAACTGGAAGTCTCTCAAACTAGCCAGCTCCCTAAGAGCTGCCTCATCCTAGGCCCCTGCCACCCCCCCAGTCGGGGTGATGTCTGCAGTGCCATTCAGCCAGGCTGGTCCCCAGGAGGCAATGCCCAGAAAGATCAGCAATGTCCACCATCACAGCAGCCAGCCCTGTGCAAGGGGTCTTGCTAACAACCCACTTCACAAAATTCTGGGGGCACAGGGAGGGGAAGGCAGCACCTCCAGGTCAGGGCAGGGATACCATCTGTAGGGTAAGGACAAAATGTCAGGCTTTTCTGCCTTCCCACCATCAGGATAGATGATGGATCCTTGCGGTCCTGAATGCATGCCTGATGGCGGGCACCTGGAGTAGGGTGTGGGCATAGGTAGATGGGATTCACCTGGGCTAAGACGGGGCTTTTAAGGGAGGCATCACGGGGACGCCAGCAGCAGAAGCCGAGAGAAAAGCAGAGAAGGCCGGAGAGCCTAGATAGAGTGAAGACTTGCTGGGGGCTGGGAGGCCTGCCAGCCTCCCGGCCCCCCAGCACCCCTGCCTGCTGTGTACCTGGTAAACCCCAAAAAAAGCCTGAAAAGCCACTGAGGGCTCCAGGACTCCTCCTTTACCTGGTCTGCTGGATCAGAAAACCTGCACTGTGACCCATTCCTGCCTCTATACCATCCATCTCAGGTGGGAAAATGGGGAGCCCCCAGCCCCAACAGGGAAAGGCTCAGGCCCAGAAGCCAGACCTGTCTCTTCCTGGCAGAGCATAATCATTAGCTGTGTGGCTAATTACAAAGCCCTCTCAAATGGACCTTGACTGGGGCTTCCCAACACTGGCCCTGGGGGAGGAACAGAAAGGGTGGAGCTAGAGAAACAGGGGGACGGAGGGGGGAAGGGAGGGCTGGGAGAGGAGAGGGGTGCACAGGGATGAGGAAAGCCGGGGGCTTTAACCTCTCTAGGAAGGGCTGGGCTTAGCCCAGGGCAGCAGGAAGTGACGGGCACTCCCAGGCCACCACTGTCCCCAGGGTGACCAGGCCACAATGGCCTCCTTAATGAGAGAGGATAATGAGCTCATTAGGGCCAGAGGAGGCCAGCTGTACACAATTAGGATGTTAATAAAGCCTGCTGAGGTCACAGCCTCGGACAAAACCGCTGGAGGGGGAGGGTCCCTGCTCCTTCCTCTCCCCATGTAACCCCACTCTCCACCCCGTCCTTCAAGGTGCCTTCCTCCCGGACTCTTCCCACCATCCTGCCACTGCTTGTCCAGGATTAATTCCATGGATGCCTCTTTGCTGTCTTTCCAAGACAGACCTCAGTTTGGACACTGGTTTCAGCACATACGACTGGGTGACCTGGGGCAGGTCGCTGACTCTCTCTGAGCTTCCTCATCACAGGATGATCTGTCTACAGTGCTGCCTGGCATCAGGGATGTATGAGGAACTGAGTAACCAGGAGCTCTCCACCCCAATATTTACCGAGCACCTGGCCTGCATGTTCAGGCCGTTTCCAGGCATGGGGGTGCTGCAAAGAGCAGCACAGGCAGGGCTCCGTGGGCATGCCTTCCCCGCCTTCCCCTGCACGGCACGCAGGGTGGGCACAGTTGTGCCCACCAGTCCTGAGTGCAAACCCAGAGGATATCAAGTTTGGGAGAACCCAGCAGCCTTAGGTGACTTCCAGGCCTCACCTTTTCTTTCCCTCTAGGTGACTCCAAGTCCCCCCATCCCAAGGCCTAGCACAGTTAACTCAGCACTAAGCATCTGTGCAGCTACCACCAGCCCAGGACTAGGCACAGGTTCTGGAGTGGGGTGCAGGCACTGGGGATGAGCTAGGGAAAAGAGCAGGAGTGGCCCCAGGCCCCAAACACCTGCCTCCACTAACAATGTCCCTGGCCTAGGCTTTGTCTCCCTTGGGAAGGTGGGATGTCCAGCATTCCCATGTTCTTTCCTTGGAGCAGGTTTGGAGAAGGGGACAGAGTAAGAATCTGTGAGCACCAAATGGCAGAGGCCTGGAGATTCTGAGAGGTGAAAGGGGATGCTGGGGGCTGGCCAGGCATATGTCACTAGTGTTGCCACCTGACTGCACCACACCTGGCACAAGGCCGGCCCCTAAGGGACTGCTCCTGTCTTGGACCCAGATTAACCCACTTGCCAAGACCTCGGGGCAGACCTGAGGCTTCTACATGAGAGGAAGCAGAGACACCAGACACGTAGGCCACTGTGGTGCGCTATGGCGTGCTGTGCCTTTAAGAACAGCGAAAGGCTGAGCAGCCCATGGCCAGGCCTCCCCTGGTCAGAGGCTCTGTCACTGCGGCCTCTTGCCAAGACACACTCCAGCTCACAGCAGGCGGCCTCCACAGCCCAGAGCCAACAGGAGAGGGTAAGAGGCTCCCCCAGGCTCTCCCACCACCCAGCCCTCCTGCTTGACCCCCTCTTCTGGTCCTCCCTCGGCACGGTCCCCTCTCTGTTGCCCATGTCCTCCCCTTCCCACAGATGAGGTTCAGGCCACCAGGGCCCAGAACCTTCCCTGGGCGCCTGAGGCCTGGATTCCAAGACCATTAGCACAAGCTGCTACGTCACAGTCTGGAAGGCTCCGTGGAGTCCATGGCAAGAAGACAGCAAGAGCTGGGCTGCTGCCACCTCCCCTGACTAGGCTCAGCCTGCCCACCTCACGGAAGGGCCCAGAAGCCGAGTCATGGGTCCAGGCAGGCTACGGCTGTGCTGAGGCACCCAGGAGAAGGCCTGGCTAATGAGCATTCACAGGTGGAGGGGCACATGGTAAAACAACAGGCTGAGGAGAATGACGGTTCATAAGAGATCAGGCTGCCAGGACTTACATCCCAGCTCTGCTACTTATTGGCTGCATGAATTTGGGCAGTTGCCTTCTCTTTCCTCATCTGCAAAATGGATCTGAGTTAATCCATGGAAAGCATTCGGAATAGTGCCTGGTTCCTAGCAAGCTGCACCAAGGAGCTATTTCTGATGCTGAAGAGCAAACCAAAGGGATTTCTACAGAAGGCACCAAGACTTCATGCCTTGCAATGACTGTGCAGGGAGGAGAGTGGGTCTCAGTGTCTGGGGTCTCAGAGAAAGAGAGAGCTTCTTGGTGTCACTGTCACTTGGCCTTGACCTTGGGAGGTTTCTATTGAAAACCATGGGTCTAGCTCTGTGCTGGCATGAGTGGGAGGTGGGGGAAGGATGAAGTGGAGAAGGGAAGATGATCATGAGACAGAGCAAGTGCCCAGTCAGCCCCAGACCACTGACACAGGCTGAAAGATTCCTGGAACCGAGTAGTCAGGGAAGAATCCTTAGAGATCGAAAATTGACTCAGAGCCCAGGTGAGGTCTGGAGGGGCAGGAGATGGCAGTCTGGGGGTAGGAGCAGCATAGCAGGGCAGTGGGGGTAAATGTGGCCCAGCCCAGCAAGGCTCCCAATGCTGCATGGCGGGGATTTTCTAGATGAAAACAAGAGGGGCCCTCGGCACTCATCTTCAACACCACTGCCCTCCTACCTCACTGTGAGCCTGTGGCCAGAGATTCCTGAGCAGAAGGTGCTCAGGGAGGACAGAAGATGTAAACAGGGATTTTTTTTTTTTAAAAAAATCATGATAATCATGATTGTAAATGATGCTGACAATAAGCCAGATGTGACCACAGAGGGGAAGGCATTCGAGGATGGCTGGAGCATGGGCCTCGGGGAAGAACAGAGACCAGGGAGGGTGAGCCACTGAGACTCCCACAGGAAGTGGGACCCCTGGGAAGTGGACCCCTGGAGAAGGGTAACCAAAAGAGCATTCCCCCTGATATTCCAGAAAAGAGATAAATGGAAGAGATGAAAGGGGGTGGCTCTGATCCCAAAGGCTCAGAATGGTCTTAGGAAGAAGGGTGCTCAGAGTGGGTGGTGCTGCCCGGAAGGGTGGTGGGCACTGCCAGGCTGCCCTTGGTGAGCTCACAATAGCTGCCCATGAGAAAAGGTGCAAGAGCACTTGATAGAGAGCCTGCCAGGCAGCCACAGCAGTCCTGGGAGACACAGCAATGGGAGCAAGGCCAGAGGACAGAATGGGCAAAGGTCTCAACTTTCAAAGATAGAAGTGAATTCCAGAGAAGAGATGAGTAACCTCCAGGCTGGTCCTGATCACGTGAGGCATGGGTTCCCTGGGGATGGATGGAGGGTCTGGAAAGGGGTTCTGAGCATGACAAAGGCAGAGCTGGACAGAAAGACTTAACAGGAAGGAAGCAGCCAGAACCCGTGGGCTCCAATCAGAATTCACTCTGGTCCTGTTGGTGTTGGAGTTGTCCCAGCTAAGGTATCCAGACCTGGGACTTTCTCGACCGGGGGCGGCAAGCCAGCTCCCATCAATTCACAGCTGATGACTGACCATGTTCAAAGGCACGCCGTTGCGCTACTTACAACCTAGAGGGGGTTCTGCTGGGGACCTGTCCTGAGGGATGTTTTGATCAGTCCTAGGATGAGGACAGAGGCCTGTGCTGGTGGTGCTGACGCACTTAGCCAAAGCTGTGCCAGGAGCAGGAGCCAGAACAAGCCCTGACCAGATGGTCATGACAGGTCAAATCTGACAGGTGAAAAGCAGTAAATAGCGAAATGAAAGGACATAGCTTAGGACAGTGATCTTATACTTTGCCGTCCCAATTTCTAGAATCTCTGGTGGGTGCTATTAATAATTACACCAAAATATTGGGTGCTACCTAATGAGGTTGTAGAGGTCACCCTACTTGGCAGTGAGGATGAGAAAGGTCCTGGAGTTTGGGGGGATTCTAAGTTCAGTACATTTTCAACCCCAAGTCTATGAAATCTTAGACTGAGCTAGGAAATAGCTGGACTGGACAACTCACCCGAGGTGTCTGGCTAGAAAGGTGCAGAACCAGGATTCGCACCCAGGTCTGACTCCTAGTATAACAGTCATGTGGTGCCCCTTAAAAATGACGTAGCTATCTGTGCTTTTGCAGAGAGAGACCAAGATCTGCCCTTTCTATTAGCTCACCAAATTTCCATCTGATAGAGGAGCCAGGGCCACCCATCCCCTTGTCTCCTTATCCTCCATTCCACCCAGGTCTACAGAGCAGAAGCGATTCTCTCAGGAGTCACAGGCATGGCCGTCTTGCTTGCCCCTACCGCTTCCAAGAGGAGGGAGCTGATGGGTGCTTTTGGGCCACACCTCCAGGTCGCCTCTCCCTCAAGCCCACAGGGCAGGCAGGGCACACAGGCTGATGCAGTGTCCTGTCAGCCACAGGCTCTGCCAGGGCAGAGAGCTTTGGATCAGCAGTTTTCAAACCACAGTTATTCCCGCACCACGCACGCCTTCCGGCATATCCTTGAACAGCGTACACTGTGGTTCACACGGTAAATATATATTTAAACAATCCACCTTTTTTTGGGTTAAGTTCAAGAAAACAATTTGTTTAGGAAACTTTGGCTCAGTACCATGAATAAATAGCTAGGACAGCTGGCCCCAACCCTAAAATTACAGGGAACAAAGCCACGGAGTACATCTGAGCCATGCCATGTCTGCCGCTTGTCTTGGGTAAAGGGAGTTTCATGAGGGAGGGTCACAGACGGTCGACCACCGAGCTGAGATAAATCAGAAGGCTTAGAAGAAAACTGAATGGGGGCAAATTCTTCTGTGTGATGCCGGAGAATTTAATAGCACCGCTCTCTACCATGTTAAGTCACCTCTGCTCCATGGTATTGCTGGGCCTGTGTTTTTAGGAAACAAGCATTAGAACAGAAGGGTACAAATGGTGAAGGAAAAGACTGAAGTGTCCTCATGAGCGAGAGGGGCATATTCAATAACGTGCTAATAGGGTGGTGATGAGAAGTGAAAAAGAATGGAAAGCACCTAGCAAGGTTGTGGGTGGTTTGTATTTGGATTTCCGTCTGGAGAAAGCTGTGGGAACCCGGGGTAGCTGTGAGCAGGCGTCTGTAACAGAGGGGTTATCTTTACTTTAGTGCCTAAGAAGGTCCGATGTCTAAGTTTGTGTATTTTCCCCCATTTCTCTCTTTGCTAAAAATGGAGGCTTCTTGGCCCCAGAATTGAGATTGTTTCAACTAATAGCCATAGGCTGACCACCCCACCCACCGTTTTAGCCGAGTTCAGCCCCACTTCAATTGGGGCAAAAATAAAATGGGGACAATTTCAACTTTCGGGATCATCTCCATAAACAAAAGTAACCCACTCCACAATTTGTCTCGGGCATTCCTCCTTCCAAACTCTCCTTATTTAATTTCTGGGGAATGTTAAATAGGGGCCTTGCAAAACCCTGCACCGCCTGACGTCAACAGCTCTCTGACAACGTGGATTTTTCCCCGCGGTGTGGGAGGCAGCCACCACGAATGCAATGCTTTTCCAGGCTCCTGTCCTGGTTGGAATTTGGGACCCACTGGTGTCACCCCAGGAGACTGTGGGAGGAGGAGGGTACCCAGGAGTGCCCTACTTAGGGTCCTGTAACTGCATTTCCCCAACTGTAGGCATTAGAGTAAGCACTAGGCATCCAATGAATGTTATCTGAGTAGCACCTGCACTAGTGTTTTTCTTAAAAACAAAAACAAAAACACCTAAATCCTATGTCAAAGACATTGTTGCATGGCCCACTAAGCAGAAATGTAGTCTCCCTTAGCATAAAACCACCGGAAAAATACATACAGTGGAAAAACACTAAGGATTTGTAAGATACCAAGATAATGCAAGACATTATGGTAAGTTAGCCAGATACTAAGTCTAGGGCCAGATTTTCTTTTGGTCAAACAAACAAATGAATGAACAAACATCATTAAACATTAACAACACAGGAGTCCCAAAATGACTGACCTAATGTGGGGCAAGAGAGAACTGGATGCCACTTAATGCTGTGTCCAGCCAGCACACACAGCCTCTGACCCACTTTCTGAGAAACACCGATCTGGCAGAAGGAACCCTGGGCTAAGAATACACAGCCTGTTGGTTCGAATCCAAGCCTGGCCACTAGAGCAAGCTTTGAGGCCTCGTGCAGTCACCTACCCTTCTGAAACCCTCTGAAAAACAGAAACAAGGCCACTTGTCCTACTTACCCATGCACAGTTGCTATAAGATAGGACATGAGAAAAATGCTTTGTGAAGTCTTCAAGCTATAGGCAGATGGTAGCGCAGGGGTTATTTTTCGCGAATTCTCCAGAACCTGATGGATTAGCTTTCCCTGGATAAAACTTACTGCCCATCCTTGTCTATTAGAGAAAAGACAAGACATATGCTGCTTGAAAATTTCCTTTCAGTTTACATTCCCGACAGCCATGTGGGCTCCAAGTGACCCTGCCCCTCCACTCAGTGGCATAGTGGGATTTACACACAAGTCTTTCACGGGGCCTGAGTTCCAAGGGGGGATCCCTTCTCTTGCTTTGGATGTATATCCCACAGGGCTCAGAAGCCCCCAAGTCATCAGATCCATCACTGTGCCTGGGTTTCATCTTTCAAAGTCACCACCTATTCAAAGTCACCACTCCTCACCAGCTGGGACGCTACACTCTCACCCTGTGCTCCCCAGAACCCTGACCTTGGGTTTGAGTTGGCGTCTCCCCAGCTAGACCAAGAGTTCTCTGAGGACAAAGGCCAAGTCTTACTGTTGACACCCTGCCTGGCTCAGTGTTTCAGACAAAGAAGCGGCTTGGTAAGCAGTTGTTGACAACAAAATGCAAGGATAGATGGGCCCATGGCTTCTCCCTCCTTCCCTGGTCCCCCATCCACACCCTACTCCCCCTGGCATTCCCTGTTCTCATTATTTGGGGTCAGTGTCTTGTGGCATCTTCTCTCAACTCTCATCCCTCTTGCCCAGGGGCTTGCTACCCTGCTACAGTGCAGGGTTGCTAACCCAGCATCCTTCCTCCAACTCCCAAATTCAGAAGGTACCTCTGACTCACAGCTTACAAGGACTTGCACTCAGGGACTCAAGCCCTGGTGATTCTTGTTGCTTGTTGCCTCACCAGCACCAGATAACCCAGTAAGCTAATATTCCCATTTGTGAACTCTCTGGCAGCTGCTCATATACCTGATTGGGCCATTTTCATCTAGACCTCACCCCTCACAGGAATGGAAAAGCAAAAGCTCAGGGAGGTCCTACAGGCCAAGCACGGAGCACAACCTGGGTGAGGCTCCTGGAGGAATGCAGAGGGCCCCCACGGCCCCTCCCAAGCCTGTTCAAAGCTGCCCACGGACCTCCACTGGGACAGCTTCTTATAAGGGGAGCACAAAGCCCTCCTCCTTGGTGGGTTCATCTTGGAACAGGTTGACCCAGAGACCTGATGCCTCCAACCCCCCTGAGGGAGGGTGGGGAGAAAGCTACACTCCATATAGCTTCCCCATCATGGTGCCCCACATGGGAATTGCAGAGGATTAGCCAGGAGACAGGCAAGTGGATGGGGAAGAAGCTGGTAAATTGCCTGAACTCCCTGGGCCTCAGCTTCTTCACCTGTAACATGGAAGTCATGACTCCTGTGCTCTCTAGGCAGTGGAGGTGATCACAGGCAACAAGGTGTTTGGCTATCTGAATGCAGGTGTCACATCAATAATCCCTTTCTTGCCTTCCCCATGTTTTTGACTGTTTCTGATGTTAACAGTCTCCAGAAAGCAGCAAATGGGTTTAACCTGAATCTGAAATGCCCTGGTCCTGGGAGAACTCTCCTGGAGCCCCTATGGGCTCATGGTGATTTGGGAACAGGTTCTTTCCCTGAGATTTTCCTGCCCGGCTACCTTTCCTGTCTCTTCTCCTTCTGGGCACTAATTGTTGTCCTAGTTCCTAAGATCTGATCTAGTTCAGCTCCTACTCCAGTGCAAAGGGAAAATGTCACACCCAAGCCAGGTGCATCCCTAGTCCAGATGCCCAGAGATTGCCCAGGTTTGGATGTCTTGTTCTAGACCTGCTGCAGCTTCAGTTACATGATTGGTCAGGCTGTGATCACTGACACCCATGGAGTATTGGGGCTCTTCCCACTTCTTCCGTGACAATCTCTGGTCACGGAATGACCTACCCCAATGACCAAAGAGGAGGGATCTGCAGAGTCACAGCTCTATCTCATGACATCCTAACAGATGGGGTCTTCTCAGCTAAGTCAAGTAGGTAAGTGTCTCCATTAGACAGTCAGCTTCCTGGCATGGGGATCAAGTCTTCCTTGTTCAGCTCGATGCCCCAGTGCCTGGCACACAGGACACAGAGGCTGGGAATGAAAGAATACCTGAACTCCAGATCCTGCCTTACTTGCTTAGTTTGCTTTTCTCCACTCAGAAGGAGGCCCGGTGTTTGATCAGCATCCCAGCATGGTACCAGTACAAAGATCCTGGTACCAGATGGCTGAGAGATGGGATGAAATTGAGCAGTCACTGGCCTTGCCTGCCTTTCATACCCCCTTCACCCAGCCTCCATGGGGTCATCCCACCACCTTGGAGAATACTGTTCTAGAAGTGAGTCTAAGGTGAAGAGGCCTGAATGAAGTAAAATAACAAGACAGGGCATCCAGATGGGCCATGACAGTTTCCCCTTCAAATATGCCTTGGCAGTGACAGGCCCAAGACACCTGGCCGAGTTCCAGCTCTCAGACATGGCAGGCTATCACTTAACTCCCCAGGAATTGAGCAACATTGCATCATGGGCTTTTGCTCCCCAGCCCATTTCCTTACATGGGAAAGTGGCTGTCTCCATCACCCACCCTCTCTGTCCCATTCTCTGGACCACAGCTCCGTCCAGCCTGGCTCTGACCCCATCCAGACCCCCAACCCTGAGATCACTTCAAGAGTGAGATGGTGGAAAGGTCCCACAGAGGCTGAGAAATGGGGGTACAGAGGGCAGGCGAGACCCCTGGGGCCCCAGATCACTCTCCCAGCTGCCAAATCAGCACTGAGGACAATGTGATCCCACCGAAGTGGAGGCCCTTTAAGTCCAAGGAGGTGAGGTGAGATCTGGCTGTGCAGTGAGGCCTAAGACAGAGGGCTAGGGCTCAGAAGCAGAACCATGGGGTGCTCCTAATGGGGCAGGACCTATGGATGCTTATTCTCTGTGTGCAAAGTCCCGGTGATAAGATCAGTCTCCTCCCTCTCCTCCAAGGGGCAGTTATTGAAAACCGACAGTGAAGACGAGGTGTCCACATGCCCTGGTCTGCTCCCGTACCAGTGCTGTGAGGCGCGTCCCTCACCCTGTCAGCACTCGGGAAGCAGCGCTATGTATCTCCGAGAGTGAGGGAGCTCATCTGATGCTTGTCTAGGAGGAGCTGGCGGAGGCAAGGGGAAGGGAATGAGAAACTGGCCCCCAGGGTTGGGTTGGGGCTAGAAGGGGTGAGTACCCCAGTATTGTTACTCCATGGTCTGGTCAAGGTCTGCTCCAGTGTGCTGAGCCATTTTCATTATCTTCCCAAATGACCCTTCCCCGCCCCCTCCCTGCCCTACAGTGCTAGCTACAGGACAAACACACAGAGAAGGCCAGCTTAAACGTGCACACTTGGTTGGTGGGCAAGACAGAGGTGAGGATTCTCTAGGTAGATGAGACAGACTCTGGGAAGATGGGCTTCTCCAGTTCATCCCCAGGAGGAAAGGGGGCAGCAAATGGGCCAGGCCAGCAGTGGTCAGGGAGGGGGCTCTGATGCAGGGCCTTTAAGACCCCTGGCTAGACTGAATTCTGGCCTCTCTTTAAGGCCCTGAGCTATAACTTTCACAGATCTTGTTTAACTTGAGGACGGGAGGAGGGGCAAGGAAAACTGCATTCTTCCCCGTCAAAGCCAAGAGTCTAAAGTAATACTTCTGGTTGTAACTTATCCCAGCCTGTTTGTGATTACGGCCCCTTGCTCGTTTTCTGGCAGGACAGCCCTGGAACCCTGCAGCATGGCTGACGGCTGACGGGGAGAGACACCCTCGCTCACATGGATAATCTTGTCCTCGGTTGACATGACCAAAAACGTCCATCAGCCTCTCTGCTTTCAGCAGTTCTCCAGGGCAACTCCTCAAAACATTATTTAAAAAAGGGGGAAAAGTTACCCCCAACCCCTACCATGAAATTCCACAAAGCTAATCATATTCTTTCTGTTACCAGCACCATCTGGGAAAACACAGCCGTCCAACAGCACCATTCACTGATGCAAATGAAGGGGAGGGAGGCAGTGTTGGACCATCTTCCTCTTTTGTTACCTCCCCCGTCCCCTCTACTAGGGGTGAACACACACACACACACACACACACACACGCACACACACACGCATACATACACTCATTCTCTCTCTTACAGCGAAAGCACAGAAGTGGCTTAGCAAAGCTAGACTATTTCTGACTATTTCTCAGCTGTTCTTTCTCTGGAAATTTAACATGCAAAGCACTTGGCCTCGCAAAGCCCATTCCAAAGGTGTCCAGGAGCCCACGAGCCCTGTGATCATCATTACAAACCCAGGGATGCTTGCAGCCAGTGACCCATTTGGCTGCTCGAGGGAGCTGGCTGAAAGCTTGCCAACATGGTCAAATTCCTCTAGCCTGCTCCCTTGAAGATGAAACCTTTTTTCTCAGAGCCCCAGGGGTTGGGGGGCACTGGAATTGTGGAGACAAAAGGTCCGCTCTGGCCTGTCTTGGTAAAGGCACAGTCTTTTTTCCTAGCCACTTCTGTTTCTGTAGGTGAGGAAAACTGCTCAGAGAGCAAAAGTGACTCCTTGGAGTCACCTGGCTAGTGGCTGGCTGAGCCTGGAGCCCTCTAACACACAGCCTGGCATTCCTGAGCTCACACTGCTCACACTGCTGCTCGGCCCATCGAGATGACCCCTTGAACCAAGGCCTTGTGCAAGAAGTGGGTGGCAGGAGCCGGCAGGAAGTCCCCCTGGGTGAGGTGAGGGCACTTGGATAGGCTGGGCCTGGGAGAAGCCTGTGGCCAGTGCTACAGGTGCCGGTGCACAGCCTGAGACTCCAGGCCCCGCTGTGGGCCAGCCTGACTGCAGCAGCTCGAAATCCTGCCTCAATCAAAAGATGCTGAGCCTGCTGAGTGCAGAGAGGGCTGGGGCCTTTTGAGGGCGCCAGTTAGAAGTACAGAAAACAAACGAGAAAAGACAGAGTGTTCAGAAACATAGACAGGAGGCCCAGCCAACCTCAACAGAGATCTCCCCACCTTCCGAGGGGAGGGAGCAACAAATGGGTCTGAGGAGGCAGCGACCTGCATCTGGGAGGCAACGCAGCCTGGGAGTGGAGCAACAGCACATCAGGGGAGTCTGCATTCTCAAGTGGGGGTGTCTGAAGATAATCTTGCATGGGGGAAGAGTCTATTTGAATACTCAGGGTTAGCGGGGATCTGCAGGAAAGGCCTTAAGTCTCAAGTCTGCCTCTGATCTATAGTTATAGCTGTAGGACCAGGCTAGGGACCCAGTGAGTGGGGAACTAAAGAGCCTGCTGGCTCCCTCGCTTCACCTGGGGGGCAGGTGAGGTCAGTCAAGGGCGAGGTAGGGTTCACCCACATCCAACCATGAACTTGCTATGTGACACTGAGCAAGTGGCTTTATTTTTCCAGGGTTTTGTTCCTTCTCTGACAAAGAAGGGGTTTAGGCAGATGGTCAGAAATGTCCCCTAGGCTGGTAAGGAAGGAGGACGGAGGGAACCCAGCCATGTGCTGCTAGGTGGACACCTTCTTCCTGGCAGCCCCAGCACCATGGCTGGTGTCCTGTGAAAGCAAGTGATCTACACTCTCACCCTGCAGGTAAGAGAGAGCCCTAGAGTGCAACCACCTCTAGCCCTGGGAGAATGGGAATGGCTGCACTCCAGTGGGGGACACACCACAGAGCACACAGTAGGTGCTCTGTGTTTGTTGAGTGAATGAACAAACTGTTACCTATGGAAGCAGTGGTGAGAATAGGATTTCACTTGAAAAGGGGCAAAGACAGATGAAAGACATGGTGGGAGGGTGGGTGGCAGCCCTCTTGGGTTGTACAGGGTTGGGGAGAAGGCCAGGCCAGGTCAATTTATTTGGACAGAGGGGAAAGCAGAGTGGCTGGTCATGACCAGAGCTGCCTAGGCCCTGCCCTCATATTCTCAGTCCTGCTCATCAGGGCTTTGATGAGCAGATCTTTGGGGAGATCACAGGGCCCCCAATGTATCCACTCTCCAGCAATTCAGCCCCAGCCCATGGACTGGCTGAGCTGAGTGCTGGACTAAGTCAGGTAAAACAACTCTTTTGCAGGAAACCAAGTCAGGTGTTTTCCTCCCCTTTCGTGTTCCTCCTGACCCGCCCCTTGGCCTTTCTCCCACCCCAGTGGAAGCGTTAGCAGTGCTGACCCCTGCTCTCCTACTCTGTGGTCTGGGAAATTCTCACAGCGCAGTGCACTGGGCGCTGGCTTTTGCAACAAGTAAAATCCACGTGTGGAGAAAGGCAAACATCAGATTTCCCAAACCGGGATGAACAGTACCTGTTGGAAGTCCACAGCCCACTTTCCAGCTCTGCACCCTGGGCTTCAGTTTTCCCTTGGGAAGACAAAATGCCAACATCTGCCTATCTTCTTAGCAAGAGGCTGCATTAACTGCATGTCATGTTTATATCATAAAATATACTGATTCAGAAAGAGTTCACCTTGATAAAAGTCCAAAATCCCCCAGTGGCATGAGCAGCTCCCCCACCCCAGGTGACCCTGGCCTCCCTGATGGGCCGCCAGCAGGAGTCTAAGAGAACAGGTATGCAGTGCTTAGGAGGCTCCTGAAACACTTGTTGCCTGACCCACAGATCTGAGGGCAGCAGGCGGCAATGCCAATAGGCCAGAGGGCTCTGCCACCACAGCGCCAAAACCCATGCATGCCTCGCTCACTTTATGGCCAGCCCTTGGCAGACTCCAAGCCAGAGTTCGGCTTTCTCTCACCTCCCATAGAGGCTGGGCCACTTCCCCACAAAACCATCCAATAAAAGCTTATGGGAGGCGAATGCATTTTAGCATGAGCCCGAGTGGTGCCTGTCTAAGAAGGGACTTGGAGAGCTGGGACTAAGACAATGAAACAAAACCCCCAATAATTCTACAGAGCATAGTTCAACTGTACATGGAAATGAAATTGGGGGTTATGTGAGCCAGAAGCTTCCCTCCACTTACCCAGATTCAACAGTTTAGCTCCCAGCATGGGGAGCCCCAGCACACACTGGCTCCTACCAGACTTTTCCAGGTGACTGGGTTAACTGGGTGGCACTGGCCATTCCCCCAGAATAAGGCCTGGGGGTCCAGGTCAGCACTGGGAAGCCAGAAAATGAGGTTATGGAATCAGAAAAGATGCTGATAGAGATGAGGGCAGTTACTTTGGGTAAACCCCCACAACCACCAGTGTAATTACTGAAAACCCAACTGCTGAGGGGTGGAATATCACCCGGCCACGGGGTAATCTACAGGAGAACAGAAGGGAGAACTTCTCAACCTGATAGATGATACTCCCCAGAAAGAACCACAGCCCCAGGGTGGAATCTGTTGTGTCAGAGTGGAGCAAATGTGCAGTGAGAGCCACCACTTGCACTGGGGACCAAGGCTGTGTGTGTGTGCATGTGTGCTGGGGAAGGTGGAGGGTCTCCAGTCTTGCCTGCTCCCTGGGTACCTGGGCTGAGGTATGTCTGGGGAGGGGTGTCAGGTCCTGTGTCGGCTATGGTGTAAGATGCCCAGGAGGTGTATGGTGACCTCCATCTAGCACATGCCTGGCACCTCCCAGCCTTTCCCACATCTCTGTAATCACCCCCTGCCCCCATCCAAGCCAACGGGCCTCTGCATGTCCTCTAAGTTCCACTGGTACCTCTTCAGAGAGGTCTTCCCTGGCCACACTCTACCACTTCTTTTGCTTTCGCTGTGCCTGTTTATTTCCCGCATCGCACATTTCAAACTCTAGAATGACACTCCATGTTGATTTTGTGACTGTCTCCCTGCTACATGTGAGCCCTTGGAGGGTGGGACTATGTGGGCCTCCATCACCTCTGGACCCCATCAATTAATACAGAGTTAGTGACGACCCAGCATCTGATGGTGGAGCTCACTGGGGCCTGGGCAGCATGGGATTCACCAGCTCCTTTACTGTTCAAACCCAGAAATGCAGAACTTTGGAGATGCTCATGAACGGACTCAGTGGAAAAGTGTTTGTCCCTCTAGAAGGGAAGGCACCCAGGTGCTCCCAGGAGACTGAGGCTGGGATGAGCAGCTGATCTGCAGTTGGATATGCAAGGTCACCACCAAAACACACTTTCGCTTGGGAATAACTATTCAAGGAAATGGCCTTGGGGGAGTTAGCACATGACAGGGCCACAAAGTCATGTCAGTGACTGGCCTCTCTACCTGCCCAACTTAAGCACATGGAAAGAAGAAATGTGTGTGTGTGGGGGGGGGGGCAGTGTCCACTGCCTCACCAGCCACCTGGCAGCTGGTCTCAGGCAGCACTCAGTGTTGACAAGTCCTTGGATGCCTCCCTGACAAGAGCCTGTGCAGATCTACGACAGCTCAAGGAAAGACTGGTTTCCAGTCCCTCCCTGGACATACCTCCCCCAGCCATCTTCTTCCCTGCAGCCAGGATCACTGGCTCTGAGTACACCTCTCACCCACTTCAGCTGCTCACCCATATTCCATGGCCCTTCCGCTTCATCCATTGCTACCCAGTTTGCACTTTCTTCCTCAGCACATACTTGCTGGGGCAACCCTACACATGGCTTGCTGTCTCCGCCCCAACAGATCCAGCCCTCTGCGTGTCTCTGCACTCATGCGGAAGTGGAATTCTCTCTCTTCTTTGTCTATTTAACCCTCTTATCCTACAAAGCCCAACCCAATGTCTCCAACACCTCCAGGTAGCCCTCCCTGACTATGCTAGTTCCTCAAACCCCAAGGACTTCGATCTGTGTCATCAACAAAGAAGCCCCATGCCAGCAGTGCTGTCCAGTCATGCATGAAACCCCCGATTCCATCAGGGTACTTCTTCTGGTCACTAATGAAAGCCTGACTTCTGCCTCCACCTCTTCTTTCTGTTGGGTTTGGGCAAGGACAGCTGCCCAATGAAGGTTCCAGGACAGGGCACTCTGGTCCCCAGCATGGCCTCCTAGCCTCACTGCCTTACAGTGAGGTTCCTGCTTGCCCCATTCATCTCACCAACCATGAAGGCAGAGAATCCTGAGAGCACACTGAGTGCAACCCAATAGCTGATCAGGTGGGGAAATTGAGACCTCAAGACAGAAAAAGGCCTGCCATGGGCTCCACGGTCAGTCTGGGACAGAGCTGCCTGAGCCCATCTATCCTACTAGTTACTGTCATGTGCTGAGCACTGACTGGCTGCCAAGCACTACACTAAGCACTGAATTTATTTTGAATTTTGCTTATGTACCCACAACCATGGGTTGTGGGTACAACTATCCACATTTTATAGGTAAGGAAGCTGATTCTTTGAGGACCCAAGTAACTTCCCCAGAGTCACCAATAGTAAGTACCACATCAAGATTAAAATCAGGCTTAGTGAAGCTGGAACCCATGTTTTCAATTGTGAGGCATTCTAATTCTGCAATCTCATTCTCAAAACCATCTCTAGTCTGGGCCAAGGGGCCCAGGCTTGGATTAAATGTTTACTTCTGCTCTGGACTTATGCTTTATGGCCCTCTCCCAGTCAGTTTCATGAAGGGGATCACAGTTTTTGTTAAGTAGATAATAGAGACAGTCTTTGGCCACAATGAATTTTGGAATTGCTGATTAGGCTGATATATAGCAGGAACATAAATGGACAGTATGCAAGTAGAAAAGAGCCATCAGTGACCAAGGCTTGCTGATGGTGGGGATAGGATGTCATGGGAATTAGTCACCACATCCAAAAGGTGACTGGTTTACTGGAACCAAACTTTTAAAAGGCACTGGAAGAGAGGAGTATCAGTTCACTTATGTGTAACATAGAATGCAACCAACTTGCCTTTTTAGAGAACAGCCTATTCTATCTTTATTGGGACATCTCTTTTCTGAATTAGTCTGACTTAGTAATCAGGGGGTTCCTTAGTAAGCACATAATCTAAAGAAAAGACATAGAAGATAAAGAAATTTATTGAAGACTTATTAAAGTTTATTTAAAGGAAAGCTATCCTAGTGTCACAGTACAGTCCACCCCTTGAGTATTCAGTATGCTCATATCGATTATTCTGAACTCCATAACGGCAGGACCTAGTGAGTACATATACAATCAGCACAGGGCCTGTGAAAAAGGAGGTATTCATGAACTGTGAAGTACATGAGTGACTAAATGAAAGAATACAATGTATGGTATATTTCTCCCTTATAAAAAGTCTACTTGGTATGCATCACTACCTCCTTTAACTCACGAGGAGACAGAAATCAAGAGATTCTGACTTATAATTATACAGAAGAGCATGAAATCAGAAGCCTAGTAGATTAGGGATAAGAAATAAAAACTTGGGAATATAATAATTAAGGTATTATTAGTGATTTATTATTATTATTAGTGATTCTTTGCTCTCAGGGCAACACACTGCTGCTAAACAAGTAAAATGGATATGCTCAACATGTTTTTGTATACTTCACCCCTCTACATCTCCTTTCTAAAAAACCTGCCCTCCAATAGCCACTGCTGAAGAGGTTGTCTAGGTAACCATGTTTATACCCTTTGACTTCTCCTGGACACAGCTGATTGGCCCAGAGACAGACACCTGACCTCAGGTCTGCCAATCCATTGGCTGGGCAGGGACCAATCAGATTCAAACTTCCAAATTTCAAACCCAAAGAAACAGTGGCCACTGTCAGTTGCTGGTAGTTTTCTCCACTAGGAAGTCACGCAGAGCCTGGCCCTGATAAACCAACAACAGGTGGACAGGCTGCTGTTAAGGGTCAACAGGAGAACATCACAGCTGGGCTTTAAAAACACAGGGCTCAAAAAACAAAAAAACAAACAAACAAAAAAACTGAAAAAGGGCCTCCCCAGTGATGCAGCGGTTGAGCACTGGGTTGCAAGGCTGCCTGCAGCCTCTGCAGCGCCGGTTCGATCCCCGGCCACCTGCAAGGGTCCCACAAAAAAAAAAAAAAAAAAAAAAAAAAACCCCAAAAAACACAGGGCTCAAGAGAGACAGAAACAAGAGCAGCTGCTTTGACTTGTGCTGACTTTCTGGTTCCCAGTCCCTGTGAGGCTGGCGTGTACCTCCCACACTTGGGTTGGTGACATTTTCCTGCAGCCTTTCAATAATCTCTTGAGCAAGTCTGAGTGGATCTGTCTTCTCATAACTGGGATTAAAGCATTGACTTTGGAGGGGACTGAAGATTTCCAAATTCCCCTTGGTTTGGTTTTCTTATCTGTACAATATTTCACCTGGATGGACCAGGGGAGCATGAAATTTCTTGCCACTACAATTCTTTAATTTCAGATTCTGTACCTCAAAGGAAGTATAAGTATCTCCAGTGTATTACAGGTGTGCCAGGAGAGGAGCAGACTCAGAGAAAGAAAGCTGAGGCAGGAAAAAAAAAAAAGAGCATCTGTTGGCTCATCTCCCCAGTTCTTCCCCTAGCCTCCTGAGAAGAAGGGAACAGCCCTGCAAAGTTGGAGGCAGCTTAGATCAACACAGAAATCAGAGCAATTGAGCCATTCCCATTACCACTCTGCCAGAAGTTAAACCAGATTATGCCTGCTGGAGGTGAAGCCAATGTGGTCTTTGAGGCAGAAGAATGTCCTACAAAAAAAACCATCTGGGGAAACTGTCAAGGATGGACGGGATTTCAAGGACAAGACAATAATGGCTGCTGCATGCCCTGCTGTTTGGCAAAGTTAACAGAGGTGCTGCATCTTGCTTCTAGATTTGTTCCTGTTGACAAATCTGGCAGGGCCAGACCCACTGTGTAATCAGAAATGCTTTTCTTGAAGCTACTCAGGAACCACTTTGGGTATCTTTGATTTCTGTCTACCTACATTCCCTGGAATAGGCCTGTCCTCACTGCCAGGTACACACCATTTCCTCAGATCTTCTCAACTGTTATTTGACCCCAAGTTCAAAGAAATAGTTAACAAAATGAATTCCTACCATATAAGCAGGAGGGACAGAGTCAGCCTTCCACGGTGACATCCCAGGGAGCCCTGGGGTCCTCCCCAGCAGCCCATGTCTCTCTCCAGCCCACAGCCACCAGCAAGGGATCCATCAATTCTCCCCTTCCCCCTAAGTCATCTGCAGAGGGGAGCGATCTTAACTGTTGGACTCTAAGGAAATGACCTAACCTCTCAGCCTGTTACTTCAGCCACAAACGTGCCTTCTACCACATGGGGTCATTCTATGATTGCAGTAAAATGATTCATGTGAAGTGTGTGGCCAGCACCTGGTGTTTACTGTTTACTGGCTCTGAACTGCCTTGCAGACATCTCTCTCCAGACCAATGAGATCACAGAGCACTGGAACAACCACACCTCCCAGTCTTTCAGTGGTGGTAGTCCCAGCCAGGGGGCTCTGATGAATAGGCAGAGCCAGAGATGGCTGGGTCCCTCAATGGTTACTGGAGGAACTTGCAGCTCAGCGATAAGGGGTCGCAGGCAGAGTCCTCATTTCAGGTGGGCAAGGCAAGGCCACGGGGTGGAGCTGATGCTAACTGGGGCTGCTGCCCCAACAAGGCTGGTGGAAATGCCTCCACACACCCACCATGTCCCAAGGTCAAAGACATCACAATCGGGTCTTTGTTTTAAGAGTTCAAAAGCCTCACTCACCACTCCTTGCAAAGCCAGCTTGCAGCATGCACAATACACCTCCCCTCCCCCAAAGTCAGTCCGGCTTCCTTAAACTAGGAGCCCCCCTCCCAGGGACTGGCAATTTGGCTCTCTTCCTTTCTCCTTTCCACCCACTTAGTTTCTCTGGTTAAGCTGGTTGAACACTCCAGGCCTCCTGGATTCTGATGCAACAGACAGTGTGGGTTTGCATGTTGAATACAGCACCCCAAAGTCCCTGCTGCTGAGTAGTGGTCCCCATGGAGTGGAAAGGCAGAAAATTCCCAGAGAAATGGAGAAATAGCAGCCAGGGAGGCTCTAGCTACTTGACACCCTTGCAGAGTCTCCCACCATGGAGCTCAGACCTGGGAGAGGATTTAGGAGGTCATCTGCTCCAGCCCCACTCCAGGAGTCACCAGATTATCACCATTTTACAGAGGAGATAACTGAGGCCTAGAGGGATTAGGGACTTGAAGCCACCCAGCCAGTAGGTGGTGGGAAAGAGCAGCTTGCTGGGAGGGTCTGTATACAAACTGGGCTGCTCTGGGGAGTCCCCAGAGCTGTCACCTGAGCCACCTCAAACAGCCATTGAGGATTCCTCCGGACAGGAGGTGTCTTTACACTTTGCCAAGCCTAACACAAAACTCCCACTTTGTCAAGGCTCTTCCTCCCCCACTCCTAGGCAGGACTCCAAGTATTGCTAGGGTCTGGGACGTGAGTTGGGAAGTTTCAGGACATTGGCACTCAGGGAGTCTTAGAGCGGCCTTACTTCTTCCTTTAGTGTGGAGTCTCCTCTTCAGCCATCCTGGTGGGTGACTGGTACCCAGAGACATGGGGGCTCACTCATCTGTAGCTCTAGAGTTATGCACAGCCATGCTGGGACACAAAGGGATGTGAGGGTCCATAAGACAGAATGCCATTTCTGAGCAGTCCTGACCTAAAAGGGAGAAGTGGGCCCATGCTTCTCTGGAACAAGCTCCAAATGTCTCCTTCAGTTGGCTCCTCCAGTTCCATCACTAGAGATCACTTGCCTGAGTTCTTGAGGCACCAACACCTCTGATAATACCAGCTTCCCTGGGGGGGTGAGGAGGTGGAGCTGGTACTGTTGATAAAGGCTGAAGATGAAGGGGTGGCAGAAGCCCAGTGAAGGGTCCCGTCCCGGCCTTATGCTTGGAATATGGCTCCACCAGGAGGAAAGAACCACTACCCACTACCTTGGCAATGACTGCAGGCATAAGGGCAGAGCCTGGCCTCTCTGAGAGGGGAACAGGCTGTGAAGACCTCTGACCCAGGAGGGCGATGGTGCATCACAGCCCCATTGCTGGGGAGCATGGTTTCTGAGCCTCTTGCAGCAGGAGTCTAAGCTTACTTCCCTGGAAGACTAGCTGCATCTCCACAGCTACTTCCTGCCCATAGGCATAGAATCAGGGGGCTAGGAACATCCCCGTTCTGTTCTGCTTTTGACCTCACTTCCCCTCAACCTCTGTGTGCCTTACTCACTCTATCTACAAAGTGGGCCGGCACAGTCATCCTTTGGGTTGCCTGCCTTTCAGTGCTCAAAATATCGGAAGGGAACAACAGAGGGGGGCAGAAGAAGAAACAGGCACCTCCCCTCTGGGAGTGTCCTCGAAAGTCAGCACAGAGAGGTTCTAGTGCACAGGGGCCTTCCCCCTCCCACCACCCCCCCACCCCACGCAAACTGAAACTAAAAACAGCCTGGTGGGCTATGGGCAAACTGCTGGTTAGTGTCTTGTGCCTAAATCCTGACCCAGGCCCTGCAGGGGGCTGAACAGGCCTACACCACAGACCAACAGACTCTGGAGCGCTTCTCTCCACCTGCAGAGACTCCAGCTGTCAAGGGCGTGGAGCACTCAGCGCGAACCAGCACTCCCTGGACAGCCCTCAGTGCAGGCCCAAGCAAGACAAAGCCTTGGCTCCCAGTGATGGGGTGGCTGCTGAAGGACCCACCCTGGGCCCAGGACCTCCCTTTGTCCGGCCCCTGCAGGGCTCTCTTCCCTGGTCCTGGTGGCCTTTGGCTTAGCAGTGGTCAGTTCGCTCACTGCCACAGGCCTGGCTGTTCCTCGGACAACCAGCCGGGGCCTGAGGGCCCTGAAGCCCACAGTGACATCATGGCCTGTCTTCCCCCTCACACAGCTGGGTTCTCCAGCCCTAGGCTAGAGCCTGGCCTAGAATATGGCCCCAAAGTGGGGAACCCTGCAGGGTACCCCCGAGCAGGGAGCTACTTTCCCCATGGGCCTTGGAGGGCACAGGGAACCTGAATAGAGCTGGACAGTTATACCCAAGGCCACCACCTTGGTCTCCTTTCATTAACACAAGTCAGTTAATTACCCCCAGCCGGGGAGACATTCTTCCACCACCAGGCAAACTGCTGGCCTTCAGCCCAAACCAACAGGGGAAAATTCAGCCTCCTCGGCCCTCTCCCCGCCAGATGGAAATAACGTATAGCTGCAGAGGTGGGGGAGGAGGAGGGGAACAAAACCAGCCTTCCGAAGAGCCAGGCCGGAGCTCCCGCGGCCGGCGCGCCCGCTGGCCCGAGCACTCACCGCTCTCGTTCTTCTCGATGACATCCACCACCTCCCCGGCCTGGAGGCTCAGCTCCGAGTTCTCCTGCTTCTTATAGTTGGACACCACCACGTACTGTTCCAGGATCATGGGCTCGGCGTTGGTGTCGGCACCTGGCGAGGGCAGAAAGCACGCGGTGAGCCAGCGGCCGGCCATGGCCCCGCGGCCGGGGCGCCCTCTGTCCATGGGCCTCGGGGGAGGCTGCTCCGTCGCCAGTGCTGCTCTGAGGGGCAGCCCGCAGCCAGGGCTCGCAGTTCGCTGGGCCCGAAGGACAGGCCATATAGCAAGGCCCCACACCGGCCCGCTGACCTGCGGGGTCCGGGGGACATGGGGAGCCGGGGGACAGAGGAGGGGGCAGGGAGGAGAGAGACAGAGATGGAGTCAGAGGCTGAGGAAACGGAGCGGAAAAAGCCTTCTGTGGTGAGTTAGTCACAGCCCGGCTTGAGGGAGTCTGAGGAGAGGCCTGGGGTGGACTTGGTCTCTCCCGACCCCTCAGCCACAGGGGCGTGAGGGGAGGGCCGCAAGCAGGCCGGTGGGCGGCCCATGAGGGCTGAGGCCAGAGCGGAGGAGAGAGAGAAAGGCAAGGCAAGGAGGAGGGCTCCTGCCTCTCCTCCCAACCCCTGTAAACCCAGAGAAAGAAAGTCAGCAGTCCTCCCCTCGGGAGGGAGAGGGAGCGAGCAGCAGAGACCGACTCCACAGCCCGAGCCCAGGCGAGAAGTCAAGAGGGTTTGAGGCCGCCAATCACTGGGGTTTACTGCAACCCTTAAATAGAAACACATGAGACCCATCGAATGAGGAGCCGGGGGTGGAGGCAGGGGAGGGGGAGGAGGGCTGAGTCTGTTTACTTGAAACCCAAGAAGAAAGTCCCAGCGCCAGGGCCAGCGAGCCCAGCTTGCCCCCCCACCAACTTTTCCTCAAGTTCAACTCTGTTCCTGTCCCTCGGGCTCCCCAAGGCACTGCCACCAAGTCCAGCGGCCTGGCACTGAGTCACGAGCCCCGGGCAGACTTGCCCAGCCTCACTCACTGAGGGGCATTGGAATGGGCTGGCTGCTGCCCTCTCTCACACAGAAGCAGACTCAGTCTCCCTCTGCCCTTTGGTGCCAGGGCTGTGAGCTGCAGCCTCCAGCCACACTCTGTTTCCTACAGCCCGAAGGGTCAGAAAGTGGGGCTCAGCAGAGGGAGAGCAGGTGAGTGAGAGGTTCCCAGGAGCGAGCAAGTTTTCTCTAGCTGCTGGACCAGTGCAACATCCATTAAGTGCAACATCCATCCTGAGAGCTCACTGGCTCTCAGGGACTGGACATGCCGCCTACTCCTCTCTGCCTTGCTATCACATCCTCACTGTCACTGGTATAGGGGTGGGAATAAAACCCCCAACACCTGCCCTGCTGGGAGTTGAAAGAAAACACAAACCAGAGGCCTCCTACAGGAAGCCTTCCTAGACTACCCCCAGCCCAAAGGGAATTCCGGGCAAACTTCTTAACGTCTATCTGCCAGCCTATACATCTGCCGTTCTTCTGGAAGGCTGGGGGCTTCAAGAAACCAGCTCGGCTATAGAAAGAGTTGAGAAGGGTGCCCAGGCTCCACATGCCCCCTTCATGTTTTAGCTGGCAGCTGCATTCCTTACACACCTGAGTCTAATGTGGCAAATGTTCTTTGTCAGGCACTCACACTGTCCCATTTCATCCTTACAACACCCTTCTTACCTTCCCATTTCTCAATTTAGAGGCCCAGAAGCTTGCCCCAGCTCAATGGCTGCTATAGAGGGAACCAAATCCAATACTTTAGGTTCATATCCATTTCCCTTTCTATTACAAAACTGCCTCTGAGTCCCATTTCCAGACATCTTATCTTTCTAGCACAACGGTCCTCAACCCGATCCCACGGGATGGCCTGGGAGGCTTTTAGAGAATGCTGATGCCTGGGCCCTACTCCCAGAGATCCAGATTTAATTGGTCTGGGCTATTTTTCATATCTTCCCCTCCCTGTGGTATGCAGGCACAGCCCGGGCTGAGAGGCACTGTTTCCACACTTGGGTCTTTTCACACAGGAGGCTCCATCCAACCTAGGCCAGGGGCAATTAGGTGCAAGAAACACATTGCCCCTGGCCGTTGTCTCCCATGAGGTGAGTATCCTGCAGCCCTGGCTCAGCCCTTTGGAGACCCAGAAGGGCCCCTGTCCCTGCCGAGGCCTGCCACATGGACATGCACATGCACAGCCCCTCCAAAGCCGGGATTGTATTTCAGGCAGAATTGCAACCAACAGCTGGGCCTCCAGGCCAGCCCACTCTGCACTCCACAGATGCGGCCAGCTTCTGCGCCGGCCCCTGCCAGCCGGACAGAGTGGGCAGGGCGCTGACAGAGGCTACCTCCTACTGTGTCCCTGGGGGGACGGTCGGCGCTGCTGCAGCCAAGAGCACTTGTTAAGAGCACCCAGCACAAAAAGGGCCAGCCTCTGCCCTGGAGGACACAAGGGCTCCCTTTCCAGTTAGTGGCAAAGGAATACTCAAGATACAAACACAAGAGAGAAGTTCCCCAGCTGGTAGAGAGCCTCCAGATCCCGAGGGAGCCCAGATTCCATTGCCAGCTCGCAGTGTACCCTCCATTAGTACCCGCTATGAGTCGGGACGATGCCAAGGCCCTAATGGCTGCCTCCCAGGTCTCACAACAGCCGGATGCACTAGGTCCTATGATGGACCCCTTTCACACACAGGCAGGCTGATGCTCATGAGGGTAAGCCATTTCTCTGAGGTCACATGGCTGGGATTGTCCACCCGACACCGTCACGTCCATCCTGAACTTCTGCACTGCACGCAGCCTACAGAGTCCGGGGTCCTGGTCTCCAAGGAAGGTCCCTGCCCCATCATATCCTCAGGCACAGGCGCTGCTTAGCAAAGACAGGTGTGTGGACTCTCACTGACTCTTGCCTTGTCTGCTGACGAGACGCCAGTGCCCAGGTGGCCAGCACTCTCTCATGTGTCCACTGGATGGACAAAATGCTATCCAGGCACGTGCATGGTGGTTGCGTGGTTTGTTTGGAGCCAATGTGGATAAGCCAGGCAGTGTCTTACCTCTGAAGTTTGGGAAAACCAGACTATTAAACTCTGGAAGGGAAAGAGGGGAGTTGGGGAAATGGAGGCAGCGGGGAGCATGGAGCTACAGATTTGTGGCCAGAAGCTGCTACACAGAACAAACAGGGTGCTAGGGAGTGAAGAGACATCAGCTTATTTTAATCCAAGCCAAAGAAATCTGAGGCAATATTTCAAAGAGGGGAAAAATCCACATACCCTCGCCCCCACCCCCGCCCCTTGGAAAATTGGCCAGAGCTTTCAAGACTCTAGGACAGGAAAAAGTTAAAGAAAAAAAAAAAAACAAGGAACGGACTCCACGCATTCCTGAGCACAGAAGACAGGCGGCAGCACTTCTTGGAGGCTACTTGAAGGCTGTGGGCTGGACAGATGGACACAGGTACTCTGTCCTTGCTGCACCCCCGCCCTCCCCAGCACACACAGGCTTGCAGCAGCTCACTCTCGCTGGCGTCTGCTCTTAGGGTGTTTCCTGCCCAGTGCTGCCCGGGCAGGCGTGAGTTGGGAGCAGGTATCCAGATGAGAAACCGCTCGGCAGGCGGGCCGCTGGGTGATGTCATCCCGCAGAGGCCGCTCTGGATCCCCTCCCAGCCAGAGCCTGGAAAATTGGGGGCTGGAGGAGTCAGCTGAGGGAGCGGGTGAGGGAGTGGAAGGAGCCTCTGGTCTTCAGATGGGAAGGGTTTGGCAGAGGCATGGAGAAGGGGTGTACCCGGTTCTAGAGAGCAGGGCCCTCCCGGGTTGGAAGGGAACTATGAGAGAGACTCATTCAAGGATGGTCCCCCTTGTGCCTTACTCAGAATCCCCCACTGGTTCTGCTGGGGTTCTGGTAGTTTCTGGGAGCCACCCTTGCCTCACATCTGCATTCCTCCAATTACCGCCTGGATGGACCTCTGGCTCCTGCCTGATCCTGGCTGCCAACTTAAGGCTTTTGTCAAGTAAGTCCCTGTTCTACCACCTTCAGTGGGTCCCCATCACCTGTGGAATGAAAGCCAAATTCAAGCTCAGTCTTTCTTGCCAATCTGAGTTCCCCACAGTCCCTGACAGACAACCCCCCTGTTCCAGGCAACATTCACAATTCAACACACATGTAGCACGTGCCCACTGTGTGCCAACCACAGTGCCCCCTGCAGTTTTCTAAGCCTTTTCCTTAGCTGTTTCCCTTGCCAACCCCTATCTACCCAGTCATCCCTGCGCCTCCAGTAGTGCAGCCACAGCTCCTGCTTCTGTCCTCTGCTGAATTTCTGGTGGGTGCTGCGCCCCAATGTACATTTTAGACAAGAGTATCACTAGTAAGAGTAGAGAAGCGAGGGCTGGAGCCACAAGACATGGCATGGGAAACACAATTGCCTTCGATTCATGATGTGAAAACATATAATTTGAGCCTGAGGGACCGAGGTCCAGTCCCTGCTTTGCTCATACTAGCTCTGTGACCCTGGAGAGGACACTTAACCTCTCTGAGCTTCAGCTCCCTCATCTGTGGACAGGAGCAATAACAGTAGCAACTGCATGGGGTTGTTCATGCTTGGAATGAGGTGACAGGCTTAATACCCTATGTAAAGTGTAGACAGTTTAAAAAGCACACTGGAAATGGGAGATTTGGGGAGGAGCAAGAGAGGTTCAGGTTCCTCTGTAACCTCAGAGCCTCCAGGCAGCTCAGAGGAAGGGCCGCAGGCAGCAGGAGAAGGGCAGCTCTGTCCCTGTACACGTCTCTCTCAGACCCCACCGGCAACCGGCACTTGACAAGCTGGTGCGCTCCTTGGGCACACTCTGGGGTGATGCCAGACCAAGCAACTCAAGGACCCCAATCTACAAGCATCTCCAGCATCAGTCCTGTCTCCTTGAACCCTCCAACATTCCAGATGGGGAAACCAAGACCGAGGGAGAAACCATGACTTGCCATACTCTAGCCTCTGGCTGCTTTCCCCTGGCCCGGACTGCCTCCCTTCAGCCACTCACTCCAAACAGCTGAACCCATCCTGAGACATCAAGTCTTCTGGTGAACCCTGTCCTGGGCTTTCCATGTTCTACATGACACCCCCTCCCTCTGCTGAATTTCTGGTGGGTGCTGCTCCCCAATGTATATTTTGGACAAGAGTATCACCAGTAAGAGTAGAGAAGCAAGGGCTGGTGCCACAGGACTTGGCATCTCCTCCTAGTCCCTCCAGTCCCTCAAACTGGTTCCTCCTTCCAGGCCAGACCAGCCTGCTGGCCTCTCCATGGGCCCTGGGGAAACCAGGCTATGTTTGGTGAATAAAATGTATTGTCGTGGGCCAAGTGGGCGCTGGCTCACTGGCTCGTGGAGAGAGGAAAAATGGAGAGGCGCCCAGTGATCAGCTCAGGCCCAGGCCCTCAGCACAGTCAAGACTCGATGCCAACAGCAAGGGGCTTAGTTCAGCTAAGGGGTCCTCATGCCTGCTGCTTTCTCCTCTGGTCCCTGCCCAGGATGTCCACCCGCCCACGGCTCTGAACCCTGGGGCTGACCCAGCCCTCCACCCTGACTCTTTTGCCTTATCTTCCAACCTCCAAACCTAATTGGCTGCTCTCAGATTTAGGCTGAGGAGGAGGTAGCAGAAATGGAGGGGCTCCAGAAACAGGGGGGTTCCTAGAAGACCCTTCTGAAATTCCCAGGCTGTTGTCCACCACCATCTCCCTCTAGCAAGTGAAACCCTACTGTCGGGGCTTTTCCGCCATAGTCCAAAAAGTCAAAGGCTAAAGGCCAGTCCCTACCACCTGGCTCTGTCCAGACACAGACCCATGTTGCTGAGGGCCATCCTAGGCCAGCAGCCTGGAAAGCCCCCTGAGGCCACAGGCAACTCCCAGCTCTGGACCTTGGGGACTAGATATACTCTGACAGAGTCTCAGGACTCCCCATCTTGTGTCTCAGCCCCCCAATGAGGCTCACTGGAGACCAGGCTCCTATGTTAGAGGCTTCAGCTCTTGTTCTCAGTCCAGCTGCCGGAAGCAGGATTAATAATCTCTGACCTGCTCATCCAATGAGGATGGACATTTGAGTTAAGATGATGGTAACCCCAGTATCATCTGAGTATTATGCCTGCCAGGCTCCCCGTGGTGGCACTGCAACCACTTAGGGGGGTTCTGTCATCCCCTCAAGGCGGCATAGCAGGACATGGCAGAGCTGGGATGCAAAAGCACACACTCTGGGTCCAGAGTGCACGTGCTTACACACTGTGTTCAGTGGTCCTCGCCCTCACCCACCATGGAGCACCAAGGTTGGATCTGAGACCCACCACAGGGCCGAGCAGGAAGGCAGAAGGCACAGCCAGTTGAAGGGCAAGAGAGGGCTGCCACACATCACAGAGAAGCACGCGGAAAGCGGCTTTGGGCACTAGCCCCCCCACCCCCACGCATGCCTGGACACCACACACATGTTCGCACACATGCAAGCTGTGGCAGTACCTGTTACGTCCTTCTTGGGAGACTCAGCCCAGCTGGACAGCCACACTTCCGAGTCCCCCGAGAGCAAGCAGCAGCAGGAGAGAAGAATCAGAAGAGGAGAGAAAACCGTTAGGCAGGCAGGAGGTCCACCTGGCAAGTGGCTGCAGGCGCCGCGTTGGGCCGGCGGGCGGAAGGCGGGGGAGGGGAGGGGAGGGGAGTGATTTCCTGGCCCTGGGCTGGCCTGGGCGTGGGCCTAAGTGATTACAGAGGCACTGAGCCACAGCCGACCGGGACAGGGATAATGAGGTGTCTGCTGAAACACAGGAATCCTCCCGAGTATAGAGGATCCTACACCATCCCCGCCTGGAACAGGGCCCAAGGGTTATCGCTGCCCTGCAGAAGGCAGACTGGCCCCTTCTCTCTGGCCATGTGGGTGGCTGGCCCCATAGGGCCTGGTGGCTCCAAGAATTCTCATAGCCCAGCAGGATCAGTGGCCTGGATCTGGAACTTCAAACATCAGCTGGAGAGCCCCAGGCCGATCACCAGCCTTGCGGCACCACATGGGCTCAGTCTCATTGTCTTGCACAGCCCTTGCCATGCCCGTTGGCTGAGGAGGACTGGTCCTGGCAGATGAAAGAAGCCTCATTTTAAAGTCTCACTTCCAACTACAATGCAGAAGGACAAGGACCTTCAGAGGGTAAGGGAGATGAGAGTTTTCTGCTCCGGGCTCAAACCGCCGTGTCTGATATGGGCCTCAGTTTCCTCATCTGTGAAATACGGTAAAAAGCTCCTCTCTTGCTAAGGAGGAGCAAACTCAAAATATCTAAAACAATATGATTATGAGATGTGATAGAGTGACACGGGCATTTCTAGACTATCAGAAGGTCTGCATATAAAAGGCATTAATACCCATAAAGTGAAATGGCTCATTTTCTCCCCAGTACAACGCCTTGAGGTGGATAGGCATCTTTCAGCCCCTCTTACAGGGGAGGAATTTGAGTTCAGACAGGGGAAGTAACTTGCCCAACTGCCCAGGAGCACCAAGTTGCAGAGGCAGAAATGGAGCCAGATCTCGGAACACTCAGCTGGTGCTTTTTCTGCTATAATGTTCAGCGCCTCTAAAGCCACCAGTGGTGGCTTCAGTGGGCTGAATGAGAAGGACACGCTGAGACGCAAGCTTGAGAGACAAGTCCTTGTAAGAGTTGCTTGACCCAATAACAGACAGTAACAATAATCATCACAAATAGCAACAATACTCAACAATATCTAAACAGCATTTATTATATGTGAGGCATTGTGCTGACAGTTACATATAGTAACTCACATTACTTGTTTTTCACACTAAACCTCAATGAAAAATTACTCCCACTATTTTTCAGATGAGGAAAATGAACCAGAGAGGTTAAGTAACTTGGCTACAGTCACACAGCATGTGCACTATCCATCTCTTGTGAGGGCATGGAGATCGGAGTGATCAGAGTTCCATACTACACACCACTTAAAGCACCTAGCTTTCCTTCACTCAGCAAGTCACCTTCTAACTGCAGGCTGGCTCCCCATGCAGAACTGGGAGTGTGGCCCTTCCAGCTTTCACTGTAAACTAACAGTGAGGGGCTCTGGTGGACAATTTTGGGTAGGCACCTGAGGTCTGACCTTCTGGATTTAAATCCAGGGTCTTTTCCTTTAAGGAAATCATCTACCCTCTATGTACCTGTTGGTTCATTTGCAAAAGTCAGAAAAAATGACATTCTTACCTTCTAAGTTACTGTGAGAACTAAATGAGGTGATACCCAGTAAGTGCTTGGCACAGCCTGGTATATAGTCGGTGCTCCACAGGAGTTAGCCACCACTGGCAACATCTCCCATGAGCTTGCTGAGTGTGAGCCCAGTTCCCTGGGTTTCATCAGTGTTGCAAGGAGAACTAGATGGCATTTGCTATTGGATGCACCAGGAAAAAGAGAAACATCCCCGTGATACCCCTCGACACTTGGCCAGGTAGAATTGGGGGTAGAGGACTCTGGGAGACTGCATCCTCAGACAACCAGGGTCTGTGGTCAGACCCTCTTATCAGGCTTAGCAATCAGAAGCCTCCTTGGACAGAAGCTATGCTGGCCCAGCTCTTTTGTAGAGCTGAGACAAAGCAGATGTACCCAGAACCACCAAAGCTCCTAGGTGTATGACCAGGTGGGTCTCAGTTCAGAATGGAGGGCTTCATCGCCTGCTTCTGCATCTAGCTGGGGTTAAAGCTTCCTCCTGCTGTAACCCAGATGTGGCCAAGAGGGTTCCTGCGCAGCAACGCCCTCCACTGGGCAGACCTAGTGCCAGGCTCTTCCCAGCCCCACTGGGTCCTACCTGGCCCTGTGGGTACCAGTTTAGAGGTACTCACATCTCTCTCCATCTTTGTTATGCTGTGTATCTTCCTTTTTGGTTCCTTTCTGGGGTCTTTAGGAAGAAATCTTTTAGGAAAAGCTAACCTCTTTCAGTGAGGTAAGAGGAATTGTTTTGCTTGGGCCTGGAGACCCAGGAAGAATGATTCTGCTGGAAGAGGGGTCAGCAACCTTTTTCTGTAAAGGGCCAAAGAGTCAGTGTTTTGGGCCTTGTGGGTCACACTGTTAATGCAAAAGCAGCCCTGACAGTCCATAGAAGAATAAATGGGTTGTGTGCCAGTAAAGCCTTATTTATAAAACTACATGGTAGGCGGTGGGCAGTGATTTTCCAACCCATCTCTGCTAGAGATGAGGGCCATAAGAGGGGGTGAGATGTTGTCTTTATCAAAGGGGAGAGGCTCCTAAGTCCTAGGAAAGAGAAGTGGGGACCGTCAGTCCACCTAGAATAAACAGTCATAAGGTCTTTGCTGCTTGGAAGATATTTTTCAAAAATTATCTTGAAGGGTTTGCTGCTCTTCTAGGCCCTTGGGGTAAGGACATTTGAGCAGGTTGGGGGAATGGACAGGAAGTCTCTTCCTGTAAACTGAGCCCCCACTGCTGAGTGTGGAATACCCCAAGCTCTTGCCTGTCCCCTTTACCCTTCTCCAAATAAGCAGACTTTCCCTTCTTTCACCAAAGGAAAATGGGAAGAGGACCAGAAATGAGCCTGCCTTTTTAAAAGACTTTTTAAATCATGATTTATTTCCCAGTCCCATGGATCCACAGAATTAATTAATCCAGTTCTGCTGTTCTCACCTCAAATGTCCCCCCTTTTGAGTGCCTTCCCTGCAGTCCACCCTCTCAAGTCCTCTCCCAGGAAGGACCCCTCTATCCCCACCCCCTGCCTCGTTACAATGAACAGAGGAGAGCCCCTGGCTCACAAATCCTGACCTTCTGGCCAGCAGGCAGACGAGGCTGATGGCTCAGGGCTGGAAAAATGGAGAGATGGAGAGATGGGGTGAAGGAGCAGGAGGCAGCTGCGGCCAAAAGAGCAGCTGTAACCGACAGAAACCAACTGCTTCCTGCCGTCTCTGCTGTCTCTACCACCCTCTCCTCTTTGATAGAACCAAGGGTCCCTCAGAGCAGAGTCATGGGACCTGGAAGAGTTAGGGGCCCCAGACTGGGAATCTGCACGACTGGTTTTGCTGAGAAATAGCTGTGTGACCTTGATTTCTCTGGCAAATGACTCGACTTCTCTGGGCCTCACTGCTCACATCTGTAAAATCAAGCATTTGGGCTGCATGATGTCCAAGGTACACTTGTTTGATGTTCTAGTCTCTTCTAGGGGAAACTTGCTAGTCTCCATAACACAAGGACGCCACACCTGAGGTTAACATTTGCAGAGAACCTGACCATTTTTCCAGAGAAAATGGCTTGAACACAATATGTGGAGTGCTCGTGAAAGAAGCAGAGGGAGGTGCACAGGGCAGAGAACTAGAGAAAAACCAAACAAAATCCTGGTTCTTGTGCTTATTCTGCTCTTAGCTTGCTGACTCTCAGGTACTCTAAGCAAATCTCTGAGCCTCTTCCTTCTTCTGTAAAATGGAGACAAAAATGCCTTCCTTGTCTTCTTTGAAGGTTTGTTTCAAGACTGAAATGGCGGCTAATGTCTGTGAAAGGTACTCAAGGGATAGGGATTGGGCTTCTGGGGCACGGAAGGGGGGTAGGTGACAGGGCCTCCCCTGCCCACCCCCATAGTACTCACATCCCTGCACAACCATTCCCCCTGGGCTGAAGACTTGGGGATCCAGGCCCAGAGAGAACCAGGTGGCTGCAGGTTCTGGCCTGAGACACTTAGACAGGAACCTAATTCTTGTTAGGTGCCGGTGCTTATAAGAAGTCAAAGATCGGGTCTCCCTGGTGGTGCAGCGGTTGAGTGCTGGGCTGCGAAGCTGCCCTCAGCCTCTGCAGCACCAGTTCAATCCCCGACTGCCCGGCGAGGGTCCCACATGGCGCGCAGACCTCTCCTGCCGCCCGCTGCTCCCCTCAGCAGTGTACTTCGGTCCTTCTGCCTGTTCTGCTCCCCTCTCTGGCTCTGGTGAATTCTCTCACCCTCCCGCGCTTCTGACTGTACCCAGTGCTTGTATAAATAAATAAATAAATCTTTAAAAAAAAAAAAAAAAAAAAAAAAAGAAGAAGTCAAAGATCAATCCTGCAGGCAGCACTGAACTTCAGGGCACTCCCCCTGCTTGCCCAAATGCTACATAAAAATACTGGGTAGACTTAAAATAGAAGAGATTCTCACAGGTTTGTGATAAGGTCTCTTTAGCCTTAAGTCACTTAACCTGAACCAGAGCAGTGAACTGCGTCCAGTTTACCCAAATCGAGTCTCACAACATGTTTCCAGGAATCATTCCGTGGTGCTAAGCAAGTTCCACCCATCCAAGTGAATAAATCCAGAGTGGGCCGAGAGCCCAGGTGGGAGAGACAGGAGGGAGCATGGCCAACAGCACAAAGTCCATGGGGAATAAAAGCAAACCCAAGGCTTGCAGGGGCCGGGGCAGGGTCACCCGCCTTATCGGCTGACACAGGGAAGGGAGGAGAAGCAGGCCCAGGTGAGGGGCCCTGAATGGAATGAATAACCCTCCTCCTTCTCCATGTCCTCCCATTCTTCAGGATCTCAACATGCTGAGCGCAGAC